TTAAAACGATTACCCCTCATGTTTTAGATGACAGTTGTGACCCTGAAGGCCTCACCAAAGGAAGAAGTCCTATAGGATTCTTTCTCATGCTGCTCAAAGAACCTGAGAACAATAGACAATCGTGAAAAGAAAGTCAGGAGGCGAAGAATGTTACTGATGATATCTTTAACTGCTACCAATGCAGTCTGCAGGCTGAAATGGTCTCATTGTGTGCTCCTTGAATAACTCCTGTCTATATCCAAATCAAACATGGCTAAGATTTTTGACGCAAGACAAAAAGTTGTGCTAAAAATTCACACCGCAGAGAGACCGTTTTAAAGTGTTTACTTAAGTTTACATAAATAATGCATCACAATATTAAAGTGAAATAAAAATATTTACAAAATCGAGTTAATACGTCACTAAAAAATTATAAAAAATATACAAAAAGTGCCTTTCATCAATAGGTTTAGAAATGTCTTCTTGGATTTCTGATAATATACAGCAGGTTTCATCATCTGCTTGATATAGTGCAAATGTCTTAGGAGTGAGTGTTCTTGCTTTCCCCGATGGCCCTCCGAGTTTGTGGGCACGTCGTTCTTCTGTAACAGATGCTCTAACAGATAGGCACAGTTCCATTCACAGAGCTGCTGTTGATAAGAGATGAGGGGAAAATTGTTTAGTTTGAGCTCCGTTCCCAAAGTGCAGAAGAAGGTAGAGCAAACGTTCCTCCTTCTTTTTATTTACCCGCACAAAATATATATATCAATAATTGGTTATTATATATATGTATCTTATATGAATATAGATTTTTTATTTAAGTGTAGATTTATTGAGGACTTAAGCGTATTTATGGCATATTTCTTTGGTTCTATAGTAATAAATGAATAAATAATGTATAGATACCTGAGTGAGGGAGGCAATCTAAAGATTTTGGAACTGTAATAACTCCGGCTTCAGGTCTTCTCTGGTGTCATATGAGCTACAGTTTCATCAAATAAGGAGTTTGTGTCAGAATGATGGAGTTATGTCAGTTTCATGTTGAAAGTTTATTAGTTCTTTACTGCAGACTGCCTGACAGGATGTTAAGTGTTAGTCATTGTGATTAGCACAGAAGACGCACTTTAAAAAATGTAAAGAAAAAAGTCTGGCATGAGAAAAGACTTTCACTTGAACAATCAGGTTCAGATTTAGTCTCTTGTTGAAACTTAAATGTTAACGTTTTGATTAAGACGCATCCATCTCCAGATATGATGCATCTGTCATCACATTAATGGCAGAATTTAAAATGTCTAATCTACAATCTTGTTTCTGCGTGGCTTGTGTGAGACGGTTTCATCAAAGGATTCCTGTTTCCTGTTTACTTCCGTCATTCCTCAGCAGTCCTGACTGATGACTAACTATATTTCCTTTTGTGGTGCTAGAGTGAAAAATCACCGGAGAATCTGAAACTGCTGGAGAGTTTTGGTTAGGGGAATGACCTCAGATCCTGTTGTGTAGATAGAAATATATTCTAACATCTGATAACACCATGAATGGGGTTAATTGGATTGTGCATTCATGGTGCGTGTACATGTGTAAACTTGAAGAGGTAGAAATTATTATGTTTAAGGCATGCGATAAGTTGAATATAAAATATCATATCTCACCCTTTTCTTCTTCGACAAAGCTTGCGTACAAAGAACACAACTATGCACGTGACTGAAAAAAAAAAAGAAAAAAAGCATTTTAAAAACGTTTTTGTATTCAAAAGCAAAAATGATTTAAATGCATTTTGGTGGGAAAATGACAGCTCACCTAATGTGACGACGACCACGCTGATTATAACCGGTGCACTACCTGGAAAAATGATGGAAATGAAGTCAAATGTAAAAGCAGTAATCACATGGTTCATTTGCTTCTTCAGGCTCCAGTAACTCACCATCAGAACTGTTGGCATTTATAGTCTCATCACGCTTGTCTGCCAGGATAAAACAGCAAGATTAGTATAAAAACTATTTAAATTGTGGAAGAAATGGCTGATTTAATTGGAAACCCACATTTACTAACTGTTTTTAAAACATTGTGTTTAAAAAGTATCTTTTTAAACCCAAGTGTCTCTACAAGTCTTTCTAAAATGTCCCATTTTTCTAGATTTCAGATAACCTTTCGGCTAACACATAAACAAACAAATCATTGGGTTAAAAAGAACACAGTGGAACTTTAGGAAACACTTGTACTGGCTCTCTGGTAAAACCTTAAAAGAAGAATGGAAAAGGTTGTACCAATTGGGCTTAAAATTCTTGAGCCAGCAGTAAATAGTCAGAGAGATCTGGCATGTTTTCTGAGACTATAAAACCATCTATCTGCAGACAGATTGTGTTGAATGTGTTTTATTTATCATGCCTCTGCCCTGGCTCAGATCAATAGAAGAAGTTCAGCAAAACAGAGAACAGATGTGTTTGTCAATTCAGTTCATCTTCATCCAGAAAGCATCTAATGGAATTTCCCCAAAAAATGCAAAGACTTGATTGACAGGGATTGTAGGTCCAATTTGTTATATGTTTTAAAGGGCAAGAACATGATAAAAATCAATCCAATTTCAATGTGTAACTTGGCTAATAGTTTAAAGTCAGCTGTACACACTGAAGATATTCATTATCCTCATAATATTAAAGGGTGAACAGAATTCATGCATTTCCTCAAAAATAACAACCACGAATCATATCAAAGCACCAAACTAATATTTACCAAAGAAGTGATTTTTTAAATCATCCAATAATGAAAAAAAATCGCTATGCTAATGACACAGAATGATACAATTGGAAAGAAAACATAGCAAAAAAATCGAACTATTACTCGATCTCCAAGAATTATTTAAATACCTTTAAAAGTAGACGATGCAGTCGACGTGACGCTGGTTATAGCCGCCTCCACATCAGTTGTCAAAGATTTTCTGCCACCTTTTAAGTAAAAAAACATGTCGATTTATTCTAATTTCTTATCAGATTTTGGAAGGCTAAAAGCAGCTATCACACTATAAAAAGACTTTTGTGACTTGGACATCAGGATTTCATACCTTGATTTGAAGGCGAGGTGGTTCCAGGTGTGGTGACTGTGACGGTGGGCGTGGCAGAGGAATCTAAAGAAGTGGACGTTTCTGTGACATGAAACATAATCAAAATTGAACACTTTGGTACCTTTAAATAGAAAGCGAAGGTCTGTTAATGGCAATAACCATTTCAAAGTGATCCGTTCAATAACCCAATTAAGTTTCGATATATACCTTGTATCGATTCGGGAGTTGTTGTTACCATTTCCGTTGTAATTCTATCTTCTGTTGTCACACCTATGAATATGAAACTGCTAAATTTAGCAGAGGTCGGTCAAAGCCGTCATCAGCCTTTTGTGAAACTGTAGGTGGGGCATGCGAGCAGATTCAATCTGACATGCAAATGTGATGTGCCACGTAATGAAAGTCATGCATCGAGCGTTTGCCACTTTATTAACTTCATATCATGGCAAACGAGAAGATAAAATTCAAAAAATTTTCCATACTAAATTGTGTTAGTGAAGGAAAATGGACCCATGGTTAAGGAAAAGGTGCTCATGATCCGATAAGGTCTTAAGGATTTTAGAAATGAATGATTGGGGTAAAAAAAATCACATGACAGAAATGTTAAGTAGACAAATGGTGTGAAATTTGAGCGGGAAAAGCAGTAACGTCTGAGAATGGAAGCTGTCTCTTCTGGGCAAAGTCGATACCTACAGTGCGTGCAGCACGTTGAACTAAAAACATTCCACAGATTAACATGTTACATGGCTGGGAATGCACAACAGAGCTGGTGTTGAGGCTCTTTATTGCTTGTTGGAAAGCTATCCACACATGATTTGTATGCGTGTTTCAGACCATAAAGTGCAAATCGAGCGCGCACTTGAATGTGCAACAGAACTGTCCTGAAGGATAAATGACATTCCAGACCAGTCGCTATTTTGACTACATCTCAAATTTGTCTAAAAAAACAATTTGCCAAGCTGTGAAGTGGCCTTGAATACGCTGCACTTAGACGTAACAGGCTGGCATTTTACAGCCTTTCCTTGTTGTTTTGATCTGTAGATCAGCAGCTCAATTTATGTCATCTTTAGTATGAATTATTCACACAGAAAAAGGACTTGGAATTTGACTGTGATGGAAGGATATACTGTCACAAAAGGCCTTAGGTCGTTTGGAATTTAACCCAAGGGGTAATTATTCACATTGATTTCAAAATGGAGCGGTGGTGGTTAGCAATGGTGCTCCGCAGCAAGGACATTCCTGCAATAAATCTCTTTTGGGGCCTTTCTGTGTGGGGTTTGCATGCTCTCCAACGTCTTCTATCCAAAAAAACATGCATCTCTGGTTAATTAACAGCTGAACTGATCCCAGCAGAGAGAGAGCGTGAGCATGCATGGTTGTTTGTATCAGTGTGGCCCTGTGATGTGTAAAAGAAAAAATCTAAACTTTGTACAAAGCATGACATCTTGACCTGGATGTCAAGTTATCTCCATAGTGTTGCGACTACAATGGCAACCGAAGTCTGTTTATCACCATTAGAAGGACTTCCAGTTTGTTTTAAAGCTGCATGAAGATTAATCTAAGATGAATATTACAAAATAAGCCTTTTTCCAAATGAAATCGTGAACGGTTACACATCTCTGTGCGGTATGTTGGGCTATTCAGAGCCCAGACGCTGAGATGGTGCATCCACCAACAAATGAGAACAGCTTTTTAAAATCTTTCATCACAAAAACATCTATCAGAAGATGAACATGTTACTAGTGATGACGTTAGTTACCGCCTTTAGCTATAACAAGGACAATGTTTGATGTGATTAGATCATTTAAAAATGGTCAATGGAATGTCAAATGATAGTGTGAACACACACAGAATGGACTACATGCCCCACAAACAACTTAAAAGTACTAATGTCACCACAAAATATGCATTAGATCAACGTCAAACAGATTTTTGTATGATATGGAGTTAAGGTAAAGGGCTTACCTGTGCACAGCGGAGGGTATGAGCTGTATTCACCATTTTCACCGCACGTGATAGTGGGACTCCCCGTGAGGGTGTACCCATCATCACATCTGTATTCTACCACTGCTCCATATGTCGGGTTGACTGGAGCACTCCATAAGTTCTTGCCATTTGCCACAGTCGGTGCTTGTTTGCACATAACAACTGAAAAAGGAATAGAAAGAAAATCACTCTTTTTTTTACTGTTCTTGGTATGGAGTACGAGGCGTAATTTTTCCCTTTGTCTGAAGTACCAGGAGAGACACTTACTGAGACATTTTGTGCGTCCAAACCACCCCTCAGCAAAGCACTGCTTGAAGCTTGGTCCAGAAATCATGTAACTGGAAAACAAGTAAGAGTTGGGGCAGAGACTGAAACGTAAAGGATTGGTCGTTTCACATCAGAGGCCGAATTTCTCCCCTAAAATGTGGCGTACCAGCCAATTTTTCTAATCTGTATAAAAATGAAGCAACACTCTCTGGCAACAGATCTGTCTTCAAGGGTTTTTTGTTTTATTTAGATAATTTTTTATCGAAGGATTTTCAACTTGGTGGATTTTTAGCAGCAGTTTGGTAAATAAATGCCGGTAGCACAACAACTTTAGGTTGCAACATAAGCCGTGAAACAAAAGTGGAGCAACAAAAAATGGAAGATTTGACGATTCAGAGATTTATACTTACCCTTTGTCACAAGTGACTTTAACTTTGGCCCCAAACAGAGTACCCTCGCTGATGTTATAGTTCATGTGTGGCTGGGGTAAGGGGAGTCCGCAGTCGTTCTCTGGAATATAGAAATTAGCATCAAATATCGCCACAGGTCTTTGGTGGCAGTTCAGTAAGCCCCAAAGTGACCACATGAAGCAGCAGTGGGGGGGGGGCTTAACTCTGGACAGCTACAGGACTCACTCTCGCAGATCAAATCCGAGTCAGTCCATTTGTCCCCAATACAGGTCATGGTTCCCGAACCGCTTTCTGCCCTATATCCAAAGGCACACTCCAAAGTGACCTGGACATTTTCGGTGAAATCGTTGATCAGTTGTGACTCAGTGGACATGACCACGCTTTCTCCCACATCTGGACTAGGACAGTCACCTGGAGGGGGAAAAAAAGAAAAAGAAAAAGGTGCAAAATGATGAATATGACAGTGCTTTTAGTCAGGAAAAGGACTTTACAGACTAAACCTGTGGTTTAAAACAGAAAAATAAAATTCTATCTAAGTTACATAGTCAAGTTCACCCCACTGAGACACTATTATGATTATTATTTTCTTCTGCAGACTATTTTTAGAGGCTGGCATCCTGGTGACAGATAATGCTCGTCACACCGGAGATCTCATGTGATAAATATCATCTCCTCGGACGCGCACACACACACTCCCACTGACCGGCTGCGCTCACGACGAAGAGGTAAATGAGCAGCAGGGACTTGAGCTGCCGCTGGCCCCGGGCGTCCAGGGGCTGGACGCTGACCCACATCGCGGAGAGCTGGTCAGTTCCTGCTCCGCTCCCTCCGGCCGTCAGCTCTGATCGGCCACCAGCAGGAACATCGCTGCTTTATCCACTCCTCCACCCGCAACACACACACACAGGAAGGACAAAGCCGCCCCTTCACAATAAAAGCATGTATCCTCCCCGAGGAGGCCTTTTTTTGTGTCCCTTTTGATGCACTGCTTTCCCTTTCATAGTTCTGACATATAATCGCATATTCTCATAAAAATATTACAGTATGTTTTTTTCTTTCTGCAATTTTTTGTGATTGCCATCTGCTTTAGTGACAAAACAAGTCACGTTAATGTCTGAAAATCCATCTCCTATGTATTTACATTTAGCTTCCAAGCACCCTTAATTTATCAGTGATTACTGAGATACTGAGGTGAGTAATCGCCTCAATAACTCATTCCATTTTGTTTTCTTTAGAGGACTTTTTGCTTTTCCACACGTTACCATTTGGCTTATTCAAGAATGAAAATGACCCCTAACCCAAGGGATGAGCCAGTGTTGTGTCTACACATATAATGACTTTCAGCACTGTATATTTAAAAAAAAAAAAAAAATTGTGGCAACAGCATATGATTTGAAAACCCAACAAAAGCGCATCTATCTATCTATCTATCTATCTATTTATCTATCTATCTATCTATCTATCTATCTATCTATCTATCTATCTATCTATCTATCTATCTATCTATCTATCCATCCATCCATCCATCCATCCATCCATCCATCCATCCATCCATCCATCCATCCATCCATCCATCCAAGTTTGTTACTGAAGAGGAGAATTGCTTTTAAGTTGAAAGTTCAAACAGGAAGCGTCTATTTTTCATAAGGTGGGTCTTTACAACAACTCCTGGTTTGAGCGTTTGCTTTGCTTATCAGCCATGGGATTAAAAAAAGAATTGGCTGTTAACTTTGGAAGTGGCAAACCAAGTCTATAAAACGTGGAAACAGGCGAGGCATGTCCTGTAAACGAATAATCCAAGTTTGTTTTTTTTCTCTCCTCTGAGCGTCTGCTTGCTCCAAGAAGCAGGGGAGAGCTGGAGGGGGAAAGCCCTGCAGAGGAGAGCAACTGTTATGGGCGTAACCCGTCTGGAACTTGTTTTAAATTAAGGGCGTTTTATTTTATATCCCTTCTTAAATTACATTTGTATTAATAAACAATGACAATAAAGAAGTGTGATTAAAACAAAATGAAGTAAGGCAGGAATGACGTTTGTCACAGCAGTCAGATGAAGTCAGTGTGTGTGGTCAGAGTTATTGTCATGGATACCACACTTTCTCTTCCAGTGTGTGTGTGTGTGTGTGTGTGTGTGGGGGGGGGGGGGTGCCTCATTGCCCCACACACAGACTCGCAGACATGCTCTCCACGGTGAATTCCAAGGAATCCACCGCCCAATTTTAAACATGAGTTCACAGGGCCCTTCTCTTCTCTCCACCCTCTGTTGTCGGGGGCAACTTGTGAGCTTATCACCGAGCAACACAGCACATGCAAACTCAAGTAGCTTCTAACTGATCTCTTTAGTAAGTGACTTACTGAGAAAACTCCAGGTTGGTGGATGTTTTTTCAGTGAGGAACAAAACAGAACTTACAGAAATAATACTGTAATGCAGCAATATAATGGAGATAATATAATAATGAATATAAGACTGAGTTCTCTGGTTTGGGAGAGAAAAATTGCAAGTTCAAAGTGATGTAAATAGAATGAAATGTACCCTGTAAAAACTCTTGTACCTCATTCCCTTATAAGGTGTTAAAAAAAAAAACCTTGCATCAGTCGGTACTGGCAGAGCTGTGGCACCTCCTGCTTTTCTTATCTCCCTTAACACCCTGGATGAGTGCATGATTAGGAGTCCCCCTCCCACCGGCTACAGCAAGAATGCATCTGCTCCTCCTCACGTTTGATACTGCAGAAAAGATGTTTTCTGAGTTAAAAATTCACCCGAAGCTGCACAGTTCTAATGCATTGCAGTTTCACCATTAATGGAACACGGTGAAGATGAAGAGCTTTTTACACCTAACCTTTCTTAATATATACTCCACTGAAATATTTAGTATTTATGAGACTGAACACTTTAATCCAAGGAAAACATGTTGAAGAAACAAGATCTTTTTTATGCTTGCTAGGTTTTGTTAGAATAATGGTGTAAACAGTGATAAACATCCTAACCAAATTTTTAATAAAATTGAAATTTGAAAAATAAGACATTTGAATGGAGAAACAAGACCTTTTTTTAAATGTTTATACCATTATGACCTCTTGTGACTGTGCTCGGACCGCTGACATAAGCAAAACTTAGTAACATCTACTGGTGAAAAAGACAAACTGCATTAAGGTAAAAAAAAAAAATCAATCATACTCAGAGAAAAGTCAGGTTTCTTATCAGTGAGTCAAAGCAGACGTTTCTATGTTTAGTTTGCCTCACATGAATTAATCCTATTGACATAAAACCGAAATGACCTCATGTCCAAAAGGACTTTTAACATGAATAAGAGGAGCATTTCAATAATGAAACAGTTAGTGGTCAAGACATTAACTAACAGTAATTAAGTATTTATTTATTTACCAAATTAAGTAGTTTCATTTTTTGTCTCTGAGGAAAAATGATTTTGTTTCTAGAACAAACAAACATATTTAATTATTAAGAAAATAGTAGCTTGTTGTCCTTGGAAAGAAACATTTTTACTAACACTGAATCTAAAACAAGTCTAAACAAGACAAGAACTCTTTTCAGCCCTGTTACGAAATTGCAAATACTGGCAAGTTCCACACATCTGAAATAGAACATCAGATTGAATTAAGTTTTAAATAGATTCCAGCAATTTTTGTGTTCAGTGAATGATTAGATCATCTACAATTCTGTCATTCTGTGTCAAGGATGGGCCTCTACTGGCCTTGAATAACTGGATGATCACGTCCATTTCTTGGTGACACTGACATATAAAATGTCCGGCTGACAGAGTTCAACCAAAAAAAAAATTATTTCTTTTCCCAAGTGTTGGACCGATTCTTTTGTTGGAAGCCTGAGAATAAACCAGAGAAATGATAAGAGTACAAATGTGTAATTGATACAGGTCACAGGTAAAGTAAATCAGCACTGGGGTCTTAATTGACTAAGCTCTATCAGAAAAGAGCCCAGATTTCTGGGTGTGATGGACATTTATTCTCTTGGGCTGGGGGCTCCAGAGAACCCTCTGACATGATTGAACCGCCTCCCAATTGATGCAGATTCCACTGAGATGTGGTAATATATGTGTGTGTGTGTGATCCTTGAAGATGTGTCTTAGAAAGAATAGGAATTTGGGAGTACGAGCATAGACACAATTCTTAAAATGAACAAAACTGTTAGTAATTTACATATATTTCATTAATCAAATAAAGATTAGTAAATATAAGCCAATTCTTACACAGGTAAATAACAGTTCATTGTGATTAGTTTTGGTTAATTAGTGGAAGTTAAAGGTTAATTCGAGTGGCAACGATTTTGTTTCTTTTCACAGGAAGTTAATGACAATCATAGCTCACTAAAACAATGCTTTTCAGACAGTTATGAAGGATACAAAGCACAAATTGCTTCCGTGATCTTCTAACTGCTTGAAAAGAACCTTATTTATGGCAGTCTTGATTTCTATAGCTAAGTTGGCTACATGCCAACTGGAAACCAGCCGTGCAGACAGTGACTTCTGCTGCTTTGTTATGTTTGTTATCTATCAAAGGGATTAATCAACATATGCCTCCCTAATGATTAATCTGCCAACATTTGTGACTGTGTAGGTGGTGTACTGACAGACTGTATAATAAGCTTTTGCCTTAATTCAATCACGTCTGTCATGTCTGCTCCTATACACTGACTTTCAGCCTTTATTTTCCTGTTCTGGTCTTTATCACTTCCATTCTTTCATATTGTCAAACCTACGTCATTTTAAATTCTGACATTGCAACTTTGGTCTTATGGTGTATGAGTCTATGAGCCAGCCGGGGAGGTCCTATGCATTTATTCATCACTTCTCTGTTGTAACTTTCCATCCAGATGAACTCTTGCTGAACTCACCTCATCTTGACGACCCACTTAATCAGAATTCAGCCATCCGCCACCACCTTCGAGTTCCCAGGGGTCCTGCCACATTTCTCACACATAACCATGACACTACAATCGATTCTAAACGAAACAAATATTACTACAGTTCTTTGTACATAAATACTTTGAAATGATGTCTTTATTGAGCTGTGGTAAGAAGCTGAGGAAAAATATGACTCTAGATATGTTTTCTCAGTTTGAGTTCAAGAAAACCAAAGAAGTGTTTTCAGCAAAACTTTATTTTCAGTGCATGAACAGTATACCATGTCATACCAGGTCATAACCTACCCTTTTTAAATCCATTTGAAATATTTTCCTTTTTTTCTTTACATAAAAAAATAACAGAGCGTTTTAATATACCTCTATTTCTTTTTTTTTCTCCCCAAAAGAGCACTCGGCAAGTATTTATAAAGGTGCTGTACAATGTACAAACATTTACATCTATTGTTCCTAAAGAATGTAGAAGAAAACCACAAGGATATTTTTTCTAATGAAGCAATGCAAGGCCACAGTATAATGCAGAGATGAGACACAAAATGGACAAATAAAAGCAAAAAGGAACACAACAGTGCAGGGGAGAGACAATAAAAAGAGCATCGTCTGATGTGGGACCAGAATGAACTACCGGCACCCGACACTCAGAGTTGGATGAACTCATAAGAACAACCCAACTATTGCACGAAAACTTACCCCTGTTTGGCTCATAGTGCGACTGACAAGTGCTCTCTACAATCCCAAAGTCTGATCTCCGCTCTGCATTTATTAATCAGTTATTCAACATATATTTGCTACTACACTGCATTCCCTGAGCTCATTTAAATACATCTTTCCTAAGGTGTATGAGCAAGTGTGATTATTTTTCTTTTCCTTGATTTTACCATTGTTTCTTTCATTTATACGCTATTTGTCTTTACACACAGCCCTCTCTTACATCAGCAGCTTGATCAATATGTCCGTAAAATGCCACGTTCCCCAGCCTACATCATCAGGATGCCCTGGCTCAACAAGCACACAGCAGAATAGACATATGTACAATTTAAACCCCCTGTCTCTCTTCACAATTGCCTGCCTCCCTTAAAAAGTAGAAAAAAAACATACGCGATTCGCAAATAAAAAAGCATTACATGAGCCACAATTTCTGCCTTTAACAGTGAACCTTTAAGAAAACATTTAAAATGTTTGCTAAATAATAACACCAAAGCATTAAAAATGAAATGGTGAAAAAAAAAATCATTCTGTTATGTTATGCTACAAGGGCAGATTCAGTGCAATGAAATTCAATAGAGAAAGAGACTGCAATACATAAAACATTCAAATATATATATATACATATATATATATAAATGTATCTATATATCTATATATTATATTTCACAATGAGACACATTGCAAACATTTGGTACAGCAGTTTGAATGTAAGTTCTATACATTTCGTGATCTAAAAAGATCCACGATAATCTGACTACTAACGTACATTGGAAATAAGGTAAAAGCTCAAATAACATGGGACAGTTTTTAAAGTCTATATCAAAATGTGGAATGGTTTGGTACAGCTACATACACATAAAGTTTTTTAATCTATCACCTCAATAAATTTCACACTGGTTCGTTTTTATACACATGGTAAACAAGATCTCAAACCACAAGTTTCTGGTCTTTTTAATGATACGATACCCATGAGGATGTGTCATGAAGATACCCACGAAAACAGTCTAGAGTAACTGGTAAAGTAAACGTTTGCTTGATTGTATTTGAAATCTGCCAGGTCTTAGAAATTAGAATCATAAACAAGGAACCGATTAAGCCTCTGTGATGTGCAGAATACATGCAGTAAAACAAACAGAAGGACCGAAGGCATGCAGCTGAGAAAACCTTTCAGAAAAAGAGTCCAAATATCCCACAAAGAGGCTGTGAGCAACATGAAACCCCAGTTTGACTAAGTGTTCACTACAGACCAGAGGCAGGGCCTTTTTGTGTTTCTTTGCATATGGGTCATTGCATTGTAATGGGTGACGTGCTGTTGGTGGTGGTCGTTCCACGAGAGGTTCCCAGGATTGGCACATTTTCACATTTCAAAATGTTTTTGTTTTTTTTGGACAAGGCCCCAAGCGTGCCGGTGAAGTCCCACAAAAGAAAAAGAAAAGCAGCTGAAAAGGCAAAGGGGAGTGCTACATGCCACATGGGATATCACAGGAACCCCAAAATACAAAGCTAGCCATGGTCCAAACATCGTGAAAGTGGCACATTCCCCTTCCCATTTTTTGTGGAAGAACTCTGGAAAACAATCAACTGATGATTCAGTTAAATATCCCATGGCACAATTATTCTCCTGGCTATTCAGTGATCTGTCACAAAGGCTCACGGAGGACTTCTGCTTCGGTGAGGATCTTAGCAGAGCACGGTACTTTCCACGGGCCTGGGCTAAGGGAGCCCTTTGGACTCTGGAAGTCCACTGGAAACCCACTCACAGAGTCCACAAAGTCTACTTTTCTACTGTCTTCTTTGGAGCTAGATGTTCTACTTTTTCTTCCCTTTGTCTCCCTTGGTAAATGTGTCTTTCTTTGTGGATCTATGTCTTGAGAAAACAACATTTCCCTTTTGTAAATTGTGCCTTTAGTTGTTTTACTGTTTTCCGTGGGTTTGACCTGGCCATTAACATCTCTGTGTCCTGAGTCTTTACCTTTATCTTTCTCGGTCTCTCTCACTTTGAGAGAAAACGTCCTGTGCCGGGGAGAATCTCCCATCACCCTTCTGGTAAAACGGACTCTCTCAGGGTCAGGCCTCCGACTTTCACCTCCGCTTAGCGTGTATCTTCTGCTCTCGGGATTCCCGCTTACGCTTTTTCGCTTTTCATTAGCTAAGCTCTCTCTGCTGGAGGCATCTCGGAGGCCTTGTTGATGATCTGTGTGCTGTGGGGTTGGAGACACCTGCTGTCCACCCTCGGACGCCTTGAGGCCTGCGGTCTGGCTTTTGGAGGCAAGCTGAGGCATTCTGGTTCTGCTGGGCACTGCGTCTTGTGCCTGACTGGACGTCTTTTTGCGACTGTGATGTTGCTCTTTGGCTTTAGGAAGTGTCTCCCCTGTTATCTTTGGGCTGCTAGGCTCTCGGGGGTCATTGGTGGGTCTAGTCCTCATGTAGAACTTCGTGTGATCGGGGGAGGCGGGCGAAAGCCTGTCTACCTTCTTGTCGGCCCACTCGCCACTCCCCTCCATCAAACTAAAACCCCTGCTGCGGCGTAGCGCGCGGCCTTGTTGGATTTTGGTGCTACAACTATGAGAATGCCTCAGTTTGCCATAAATGGGAGAGGGAACAGAAACGGAAGCCCCGGTGGGATATGGAGAGGACTGGGGTGATGTGTCAGAGCAAAACACCTCTCCAAAATAGCTTGTGGGTGAAATGATTTTTTGATCACGTTGATCTGTAAGAGAATGGCTCAATTTTATATGAGAGCACAACGAGGGCACAAGAACATTACGTAGACAAAACAAAAATGATGATTTTAGAAAGTGCCAGGGAGAATTTGACGGTAATTTCACAGTGGTTATCAACAGTGGGAAAATGTCAGCAAGATGTTAATTACCAAGGTTAAAGATAAGAGACCAGATAGAGGAGCGATGATGTTAGTGTTGGTGCTCGGTATAATAGCACACAGTGGAGGAAGCTGTGTTACCTGCAGCAGGGGCAAGAGAAAGGCCAAGGAAAGCAGATGGTTAGAGATTTAGTGACAAAAACTCAGCAAAGCTTGTTCATCAAAAGACAAGGTTAGATTGATAAAAACATTAGCCACAACATGTTGAAAAGAAGAGTTATGACTGACTTAAAAATGAAAACTGAGATTCTGAATATGTTCTGAGATAAGATTAAAAAAAACACCTTGAGCAATTTTGAAACCCCATCCAAAAAAAGAACAGCTTAGAATGCCCTCGGCATCACCCCACCAAGCCACCCCCTGAGTGGCCCCAGTGGGGGGCCCTGGGTGACCCCTGCTGCAGGGGATACGTTTGCAGTGACAGAATCTTGTTCTTTAACTGTTTCTCAAATGACAGCTCAAAACTGCAGTCTGCAGCGTCTGCATCAACTGTCCAGAGACGGCTCCATTTAGCACGTTTTTAACGGCTGGGGAGGAGTTTCTAGAATAAAGAATCTTCTATGCACTGAAACCCAAAAAAGAGACGGTGGGGGATGGAACATCTCCATTAGACTGAGGGGTGAGTGACACTGAGTCCCGTGATCATAAAAATCAATTTGTTTCTTCTAACGCAAACCATTCTGTGCGTGTTTTAAAGGTCAGAAGGATGACAACATGCTGTGAACCACTCAAAGCAGTGAGTGATTATTTCTGGGTGTTTTGCTGCAGAAAAAGTCAGAAACTAGAACCAGCAATGGCTTTCGATCCATTTTGCAGTGTCACATTACATCTCCAAGCATTGATAAGTTCTAACTCTGTCATGCAGTAAGACCCTAAGCACACCCATAGGCCGTGCAAACAAAACTATGAAAAAGGAAGAGAATTAGTACACAAAACCTCGGAACATGTTTGCATGATGGATTACAGTTGCAATCTCCAGTTTAAATACTGTGGTTAAAGCTGGTAATGAAAACAAATCTGTTACAAGGAACTTTATGGGGACCTGTTTGTGATGTGAAACAATGAGAAGTCGGTCAATAAAATGTATTTAACAGAGTGTTGTGCTGTAAAGATTTAGATAAAATGATATGTCGTGGTGGATATTTTACATGGCTGATTTATTTATGCAAGTACATATACGTAAAAATTAAATGATATATTGTTTTTTATAATACTGAAGTAGTCAGTTCTACAGTGCTATGTGTTAATACCCAAACTGATATCAAGCATTAGCAGAGCGTTAAGATATCAAAAGTTAAGCCCAAACGGAAGACTTGAAAAGTCTGAAAATGGTACTCACTGGCATCTTGAGCCAGACCTGCCCCTGGTCTCAGCAGCAGCACCACTTTGTTTCCTCCTGCTTGGATGAGTTCAATAGCTCGGGTGTGGGAAATGCCACGAGCTGGCTCCCCATTGATCTCCACTATCTCATCTCCGACCTGAAACACACGAAAAGAAAACTGCCAAACTCTGCATCGCGCTGCATGCACGCTCAAACGTACAGAAGTTTATCATCAGGGGATGAAACTTTTATGCTGCACACACACAAACAGCTTTGTGACATCCTGAAGGCACTCCCTATTTCTAGAGATGACAAAAAAAGCCCAGGGTAAGACGTACAAGCATGTTAGTCAGCGAGGCTGTAATCACTTTTGACATTTCCCAACACACACGGACAGGCAGTGTCATGCCCACAGATCACAGCCTGAAAGGCCCCAAAATTGATTTCCATGAGGAGCAGCTTTTTTGTTTTGCACAGCAGAGTCTGCATTCTCATCCTTGCTATTCTAATAATGCCATTCAAACAAGGAAATGCAGGTTTAGCCTAACTCTAGGTTTAAACAGGGTCAATTAAAGGGGACATTTTCTGGTAAAATGATTTTCTACTGAGGAAATATGGCCAAAATAACATGTTAAAGCCTTTTCTTTCATCAGAACATCTGTACCGAATAGTAGTAATGCTGTCTTGAATATATCTATCTGAGAGTTGCTGGGTTAAATTGATATGATATCCTCTGAGAGCTACTTTCCCGCTATGCAGATCAGTTTAAAAGTGATATTTAGAAGACACCAATTACAGCCTCCAGCCTTAAGAAGAATGTCTTGTAAATGAATATCACCATAACAGAGGCACTGACATGGATTCTTCCATCCAGCTGAGCAGGTCCATCTTCAGCAAGTCTCAGGATGTACAGGCCCATGTTGTACTCTGTACCCCCTCGCAAACTAAAGCCAAATCCCCTGGGACTTCTCTCCAGCTCCACTGTCAGACAACCCTACACAGAAATGAATCTCAGTACACTCTCACACACACATAGAGACACAGTCCAACGTTTGCCTGTAGTCATATTTGAAATGCCATTGGAAATATTGTGCTGTCAATTTTTCTGGAGAGATTAAACAAAGGAAAACAAATCAGTCGAACTGGAATGCACCAGTAGCTCATTGAAAGTCTGAGACGGAAGATTTACTGCAGTCAGGAATGTCTCTTGGCTCTCGGAAAGTTATGAAGATACACCACCACCTTCCTGATAGTTGGAATTCCTGCCATCACGATATACGGTGGAGGTGGTGGCTTGGGGGGCCATCTACTGGCAAGATACGACCACAACATGTAAAAGCTTTTTTGCAAACGCAACTTCCTTTCAATCAAATGTATAAAAATGTTGTATTGTATAAACTAAGGCAATTAATAGTTAGCTACAATCGAAATGAGCATTTTCCCATCCTTATTACTTAAATACATATACATTTATTCAAACTAAAAAACTCTAAATATTTATATAAAGTTTTTTGTGAATGTAATTTACATTGTCATAAAATTCACCTATGTCTCCTTAATTATCATTATGTTCATTCTAACAAGACTACAAACCAGTTTTGGGAACCACAGGAGCTTTCACCAGTACTGCAGTAAACACTTACAGTCCATACAGGGCTGCTATCAAAGCAACGAGCAAACAATAACCAACAAAAACCATCACCTTCAAGGCCAAAGTATTATGCTCACCATATAGAAAAGTATTCCTAAGGAAATGTTAAGGATTTTAGGGGCCAGATATGGCAGATATCAAGTTGTTTGATGTCACTTGTAAGAACTTTTTAGCACTGAAGTTTTTGCTTCATGTTTCATGCATCAGCATCAACTGAAGACATCAACTAGTTGTGGAAGAAGACAACAGGTTAAGATCAAGCTCAGCTGGAGTCCATCACCCAACCAGTGATTTTCCAGAAGCTTGCTCATGGCAGCATGATGTGCCAGGTGCAGCTTTTCATTCAATTCAATGTATGCTCCCATAAATATCTTAATTCTGTATTAATAATGTATGTCTTCCATTATTCTGCCCAAAAAAATTAGCTAATTGAAACTTCAACGGGATTACCATTTATGTCTTATGTCAGCTTCTAACCCAAACTGTTACTATTAAAATCCAAAAAGCAAATACTGTGTGTATTTTCATCAAAGTGATTTTATGGAACATTTTTAGTCTTTTTTTTTTTAAATAGAAACACAATATTGACATTTGTAATAGACAGTAACCTCATGTTCATGCTCATTGCACGTGCATAATGTTTTGTTGCTTTTTTTTTTAAATTAATGTCTCATCTGTTGAGACAAAAGCTTTCATATAAACCTAAAAATAAACTTTGATGAAGCATTAAGCATTAACATAATGTTATGCTAAACATCATTACTCAGGTAGTTCATGAACAATAAACTGCATTAAAACTTTTCACATAGACGTATACAAGAGGTGTTTAAGTGCCCCGTTTCTTTGAGGGTTAAGCAAAAAGCTGAGGCAAAACTGATAAATAAGAGGAGGATTTTTACCTGGTTGGGTCCTGTCACACACAGTGTTCCCTGCTCACTAGGAGGAAGAGTTTTCGGATCAGACCAGTTGACTCCATCTCTTTTCTCCTCAAGGTCCAAATTATAACTGCAAGAAACAAATGTCATTGGTGCAAACGCAAAGCTAGAGACTATCAATTCTGTACTGCATCTGTATACATTGTGCACATTTGTGAAACAGATATCCTTTATAAGCATTTGGGAGGTTTATTAGTTTAAAGAATTGTTTGTTAAAAAAACATGTAATATCAAATAATAATATCACCATTACCTATTTTTATTCAAACATGAGCTTTCTTTTATTTGCCTTCTCAACAACCTGAATTCTTTATTCTTTATAAATGGACATGGGACTCAATTGATAAAATACAAAAAAGATATTGGAAATTCACAGTGCGCAGATACTTAAAATGTTCACCCTGAAGTACTGACCTCTGTCCCATGGCTCTGTGTTGGAGAGCTGGACTCTGCTTGGCTGAGCTGGCACCGGATGGAGGGCCCTTGTATTCTAAAAGACATATTGATATTACACCCAGCCCCACCAATATCTCTCCGCAGAAATAATTACTAAATTAAATTCTTGATTATTTTTATTAAATGGATGGCAATTTCTCTCTTTTATCTCCTAAAATGTCAATGGGACTTTAATTATGTAAAAATACTAATATAATTTTTTTTTAATGATTTAATCTTTTAAATATATGCAGAAATTGAATTGGATGCCAGCCAGATTGAAAAAATAATAATAGAGGGAAAGTAGCAACAAAAGATTGAAGACATCTTAAATTGATTTGATGTGAAAGAACAGACGGGAGTCTAAGTCTTTTCTGAGTAAACACGCAGAAGTTCAGAGAATTAAACATCAGATAAATCATGGAATAGAGTCTAAGGGTTTTAACATCAAGGGTACAAATATTAGAGGATTTACATAATATGGTTCAATCTCTGCACACAAGAGACCTGGTGGATCACAAACACTACAAACGGCCATGATTAAAGTATTTTGGAACTATGACGACACTAAGGGACAGACTGCTATTTTTGAAAATTCAATGTCAATTAAAGATAAGTAATCCCAAATAACTCTTTATTAACCCTGAACAAGAAATGCTTTCCGGCAGAGAGCTTTGAAAATAAGTAAAAAATAGGACAATCCATCACATCAACACCTGATCTTGACTTTTCTATTTAGTGTAGCTCTGCTATTAACATGCATGGACTTTGTCTATGCTTTTCATGATGAAAAACCAAACTTGATGGAGGCTGTGAAATGTTTTGATACCACTGTGTCCAATATTATTATATTGTCAGTTTGATTCTCTTATACACATCTCTTGCTGTTTGCTTGCTCTTCCTTACACTAGACATCCAATTTTCCACTGGCAGAAAAGGCAAACAGATATTTACCATCCTCAGGAACCACTGTTAGGGTGACAACATTGCCAGCATCCTTGATAAGCTGAACAATGTCATTGTGAGAAAGCTCAATAATGGAGCGCCCGTTGACTGCTGAGATACGATCTCCCACGTGCAGTAGGCCGCAGCGGTCAGTGGGACTGCCTTCAATGATACGGCCAATTTTGTGAGGGATAACTGAAATGGCAGACATGATAAGAAAATTGATATCGGCGCCATACAACGCTACGTAAAGCCTCAATGTCAGTATCTTCATGGCTGAATTACACATTAGTGGCATTTGTAGATTACCCAACATCTTGTCACAGGCTGTGACAACAATAGTTGTCTTTGATATTATCAATTTTTTCATACATTAGACTGCTTTAGCCATTTGATATTCACCTCCATATGGTGGTTTGCTTTTGGAGGTGAGAATGACAAATCCAAATCCCTCAGTGTCCTTGCGATGGAGCGTGATGTCAAAAGACTCATGATCCAGTGCGCTGGGCATTGGTAAGCGAGGTAGCTTGGGAGAGCCGTTCACTAGTACGGGGGCCATTTCAAGACCCTCTTCATCCGTCGCATCTGATTTGAAAGGAGACATGGCGCATAGTAACAAAAACAAGTCCTGTGAGACTGAAAGAGGGATATTTTAAACGTTTCTGAGGCTTGGGAAAGGGCCCTCGTATTGATCACCCACCTCTGTAGATTACTTTTCGGCGAACGGTTAGCATGACTTGACCGTTTCGAGCTGCATTGGTCATCAAGTCCAACACCTGCTTGTGTGAACGACCTTTGACCATCACACCGTCAATGCCGATGAGCTCGTCTCCCGCTCTCAGACGGCCGTCCTTCTCTGCGGCTCCGTTCGGCACGATTGCTCCAATGTACACCTGGGGAAATACGTTCTGAAATGGAGTTAATACCAGAGAAGTGGCCAATTACAATATAACAGAAAGTATACCAAAAGTGAAAAACAAATTAATCTATTTTCCAATGAATATACAGCAAGATAACTCATCCCTCACAAATTCCCTTAAACTAAATCAATGCACGTTCCAAATGAGCGATCCATACAAAACCCCGAGGATTACAAGGCGTTATAGAAACTTACTGGCTGCTGTGGACCTTCTCCTCCCAGAACACGGAAACCAAAGCCTGTTTCAATGTCTCTCTTCAGAAAAACATCTATGTCTTTGGTGTGAGGCTCTGTGGAGGGGTAACACTCCGTCACTGCTAGGGTTGCATTCCATAAACCAAACCTTCCACTTGTACAGAAGGGTGTGTGTGTGAATGAGTCTGTACTCACGTCTGCTCTCCAGCAGGGCTTTGGACTTCAGGTACATCTCCGTGGCCTCTCGCTTGGGGGAATCAGAGGAGCGCAGAGTGCTCGTGTTGGAGTGGAAAGGCAAGGCTTGCGGCGTTGCGTCTGCGATGGTGTCCAAAGTTTCCGTGCTAGCTGTCATTTCCTGTCTCTGACAACACATGCACGGCCCGTCAAAAACTGCGTGTTCGTGGGAAAAAAGACGAGCTCTACAGCAATAAGTTTAATTCCCGCCTCTGTGATAACACACATGTATGAAGGTCATCGGATGGCTGTTGAAAATCTCAATAGCGAGATTACAAAACCAGTTAAGGTCAAGTCGTTGGCCATTTTTAATACCACAGAACATTTTCAATTTATACTTCTGCTATTGTTCTGGGGGCTAAGCATTGGGATTCAGATATAATTTGAAATCCATGGGAGAAAGCAAAGATTTCCCAAAGGCTGTTTTCAGGCTTCTTCAGGCAGAAAGGGCACTTTCTTTATCTAAAACTGTTGTATTAATGATACCGCCGTATCTAAAAAGGCTCATCCTGGCCTCATTACGACTGCAATCCCCAGACAATAGACAAAGAATATGAATAGTGAAAGAATGTAATTAGAGACTGTTTTGAGAGAAAACAAAAGAAGGTGCCCAGAAACATAATCAACATTCAAATTAATTGCATCATTTAATTTGATACCATAGAGGCTTACTGGTTAAACTGAAGGACAAAGCTCTTTGAAATCAAATTGACGGATATTGTCCTTTGGGGAGACAATAGAGGGGAAACATACACATGAACTCACCGGCTTTAGAGTCTTCACAGGGGATGTCTGACCTGTTGAGAAGCAAAGACAGACAACGAGAATTTAGTCTTAGAAAACAAGGTGTGCTTTGGAGCAGCTGTCTCTGAATTGCAGTCCACCAGATGGCACTGCCTCTCTTACTAACAAACAGCAGTAGTGAGCTTAAAAATATATTAGCAAGTTCTCAGAGCTCAAGAGGTTAGCTCTCCAAAGAACGCTCCATTATCAAATATTCAAGCATCCTTGAGATTAGAGATACAAATGCATTATGAAGGTGTTCTAAAGAACCGAACAACTCCAGAAAGCCTACTGTAAAGCTACAAAAGCAGGAAAGGGCATGAGAGACTCATGCATATAACTCCATGACCAATAATTCTCTTCGCCCTCTGATCGTCTTACAGTACACCCACGTGTTTCATCTCAAGCATTCAGATTGTTCCCAACAGATCAATTCACAGCCCTCTCCCCACTTCCTTTCTCTTCAACTCCCTGCATTAATCAAATTAGCAAATACTTCTCCGGAGCCTGCAGCCCCTTTGTACTGAGACTGATACTTGGTCCGGTGAGAGGTTAATGCAGCCTCACATAACAATTTTGTATGCTTCCCCGTGAAATCGGAATCCAATAGCAAACTCGCCACAGGAGCGAAACAAAACATGCGCTGCACCTGCATCACACCCAAACACACCCAATCCTTTTCCTACTGTCCAACTCCAAAGCCTGTAATTCGCACACACACTCGCAATTAATTACACGCACAGAAACTGGGAGTCTCCTTCAAGCCAAATCCATTGTCTAATGAGGGCTAAAGCTGGCATTAGCTTAGATATGCTTAGATATACCTAGATATGCTTCTGCTGTGGAGCCATGTAGTGCACCAGTGGAGCAGGACATGGCCATGGTGACACCGGCAGCGAGGGTAAATATGGCGGGTAGCTGGGAGACGCAGGGAAAAGGGTTCAGGCGTGGCTTTGGGGAGAAGGCCCCGGTAGACCTTGCCACTATGGCTGTTTAGCCATGGATGTTTAAGAGGCTATGGCTGTAGAAGCGTGGAGAAATCCCCCGTGCGCTGCTGATGATCAAAGTCAATCCGGGGATCATCGATTTGCGTAGTGAGTCCCTCGGGCGGCCAGAGATGGAAGCCGGAGTCATTTGAAGGGGTCTCTCCCTCCTTCCTCAGCTACTCGGACGCAAGCCCATCCCCACACTTGTGATTCGTTGTAATTCATGCTTTCAGACTTGTAACAGAGATAATTACGCCTTACTTGGGAGTTATAAACAGAGTCAGTTTGGCTAAGGGCACGGAGAAGGAATCCCGGGATAAGCACTTTGCATATGTAAAGGAGCTCCATGTGATGGTAAGGATGAAAGCTCTTACAGACTGAGTCTGATAATCATCTGCAGTAGCTACAGCAGTGCTGTTGGATCTGCTCCGCAAAAGAAACAGCAGTCACTTTTGTGGTGTCTTAACACATGCGACGGACTCGGTGTCATCACACAGACTTTCACAGAACAACAAAGTATCATCACTCCGTGGCCCCAAACAAGCCAAAACACCACCTCACCTCCGGTTAGCACCAGTCCTCTGAACTTAAGTTGTTTTGACAGAGATGGCAAATTATGTAACACAGAGGAGAGCAATGAGACAGAAAGCAAGACATGAAACGACATGGACATCGAAGCCAATCGTTTTTCCTGATCAGTAGATATGCAAAAGCTGTTTAGAGAATGTCAGACAGACAGTAGATAGACAGAGAGATAGAGTTACTGTTGCCTTAGGTTCTCACCTCCTCGCAGTACCACCACGTTGACCTCACTGCCTACTGGTAAATCCTTAAGGATGTCCACCACTTGTGCGTGGCTAAGGGTTTGGACATTTTGCCTGTCGATCTCCTTAATGACGTCTCCTTTCTGCAGACCACGGCACCACTGGGCGTCCAGGATCATTTTCACTTTCTGGCCAAGGGGGCAGTCGGCAATGGCGAACCCGAATCCTCCGGGTCCCTTGACCAGCGGCACGCTCACCAGCTCGGGCTGAAGCATCCCCGTGGCCACCTCCGCCCGCTCTGGCTGCCTCCCATTGGGCAGAGCTGCCACCACAGGCCGGCCGCTGGCGTCCGTGGTGACATAGTGAAGCTCCTGCGAGGAGCCATGGAGGACGTCGCCTTTCACCAGCAGTGGTTGTCCATTGATGAGGGGCACGGCGGTCACCACCTCCCCGCCATGCAGAGCCTGCTGGGGCTGAGGGCCAGGCGGAGGGGGAGGAGGGGGAAGAGGGTCATCGCTGTTTAGGTCCACATCCGGAGGGAGAGGGTAGCCACGACAAAGAACCATGTCCACATATTGATTAATGGGGATGGACTGGAACATCTGCACTACCTCCGGATGGGTTTTGCCAAGCACACACATCCCATTAATTTCAACAATCACGTCACCTAGAAAAAGACAAAAACCAGAAAAGTAAAGCAATGGGACAATGAGATTTTTCCTCTGACATTCAATCAGGACATCGATGTTTTATACTCTTTGAAATGCGCTCTCTGCCTTCTTATTGAAACGTATCTTTCTTTTGAAATGTCTCTTTTTCCTATTCACTCCTCTATCGTATTTTCATCTTGACAGGTCCATATGCTGCCTCATTTTCCTTTTATGTTATTCACTCCTACTTCATTCTAGTCCATTCTTCACACCCTGCCTTACTGAACAGACCTCAGCAGGACTACCTGCTACAACTACTCTGAGCTGGGATAAATGTGGATCTCTGTCACTTCAAACTAGTTACAGAGACACATACACACAAGCACCGTCACGGAAAAAACAAAAAACAAATCAAACTAACCCCTTATAAATTCTAAGGTGTTATGGATGTAATTAAAATAAGCTTTTCCTCAGCAGGTCTGAAAGTTAGCAAAATACAACCACAGATTCCAATCTTACCACCATTGGACACCTCAGAAAAAACAAAAAAACACCAAAAAAACAGTGCTACATTACTATGGGAAGGTCTTGTGACACATTATTATTATCATTATTATTATTACTATTATTTGCATTCTTGTCATCTTTTAAAGGGCGCTGACTTAGTTTTAGTGTAGTCCTTGGGTGGGGCCATCTTGCATATTGTGTCATTGTGTGCTTCAACAATGTAAGAAATTGGAGAGGGGAAAAAAGGAGGTGGATGGTATTAAACATATAGCAGATGTACAGTATATGAAAATTATGGATTGAAGAGATCCTTATAAATGTATCTGGTCATTCATTTTAACCATCAGATATATCAACGGCCACGTTTTAAACAGATAGTTTTACCAGTGCAAAGAGGAAAATGGTCTAAAACTTGAATTAAATGCAATATTGTCCCCTTAAGAGATATGTACATAAATTAGAAAGCAGTAGCTGAAATGAAACAGTGTTATGCTATAAAGTGTCCTTGAAAAGATTTGATCGAGCTATCGATGTCATCGTACTCAGTTACTCTATTGCTGCTCAGGGTGATTCTTTAAATGACAGAAGTACAGTTTAGTTTCCAGGAAATAAATTACAGCGTTACATTAATTATAAGGTTTTTCATCCAAGGTTGTTTTCAAAGAATTTGAAGGCCTGGCAAGTATGTAATACCATAGAATTAAAAGAAGGTATACTTTGTTTTTCACCCAACTGTACCCACCGAACCACAAACGTACATAACTAAAGGCAGTGATATAATCAGATTGTTGCTATTAAACCGGGCCTTTGACAGTGCTCCAGTTGTTTTTATTGAACCCACGGGACAGTGTCAGGCTAAATGAGTACCCCAGAGGTAGAATTAACACCTCCAGGCGTATCACAGCAAACCATTTGGTTCTGCAAACTGCAAAATCATTTTTTGTACTATCATAAATATAAGCTCTAATAAAGTCATAGATTTTTCTGTAAGCTAAATCCAATTTTTAAATGCTACCAGGCCCCATCTTGTGTTTTCCTTTGCCTAATCAAAGGGAAGTGTGCGTGCATAGTTTGCTCACCGGACGCCATTTTATTGTCCTGGGCAGCAGGGCCGTCACTCAGCACATTTTTCACCTGCAGAAACTCATCTGTGCGGTCACCTCCTATGATAGTGAAGCCGAAACCCTGGGAGCTCTTCTTCAGAGCGGTGTGGTACATCTCCCCATTGAGCTGGCTGGGCTCTGCAGTAAAACCGAACGCGCCTCCTTTCCCTGTGCAGAAAATGGACGTGTTAGCATACGGGTGTCAATTTTAATTTTCTTTTTGCATGTGAGGACTGTCTACCTGAAGATGCATTTTACAAAGAAAATGTATCAGTGAATGAAAGGCTTTTATGAGACTTGAATGCAGTGCGCCACATCAAACACAGCAACACAAACGAACAAAGTCCCATCCATCGTCAGAGACTGCAAAATCCATCCACGTCTGCTCCGAACCTTAATTATACGCATTATGGGCTGAGAATCAACATATTCATTAGTGATTTATAATTAACAGGCGTGATGTATATTTAAACTCAATAAACCCACCAGCAGAGACATTTTGTGCAAAACTGCTGAGAAAGGAATGCAGACAGATAAAATGATAAAATTATAGCTTTAGAGGCTAATTTGTTTGCTTTCCTCAATTATAACACTGTTGAGCGGAACAGGGATTTAGCACCTCTGGCATCCTCCAAGTCAGTGTGTTGCATATTTATCAGAGCATGGTGATTTTAGTTTTTTTTTTTTATATAACTTTGGGAAGGAACACCTAAAGGTCAGTGGAAACATCAATATGGACCAGGAGCTTGGCTGTGGCATAAGCAATTCAAAAGATAACCAACTCAAAGGGTCACACTGCATTAAAGTGAGCAGCTTCCTTATCTGGCAGTTTTGTCATATCAGTACTTTAGATCGTGAACACACAATCTTTTTTCTTGCTGTGTGATGGTCTGTGGCCGGGACCGCATTATTGCTTTCAATCAAACACAGTAAAACTGAAATAGGCCAGTAACAAATTGTGTACAATCCTGCAGCTGTGTAGTGAAAGAGTGTGACAGGTGATGATAATAAATTCAGTTCTTTACCAAATGTCACAAAGAATGTTAACATTATCCCTTTACCACCTTGCTTCTTTGTTTCTTCTAGAAAAAGTGATCTTTTAAATTAAGGCTAAATGACAACCTGTGAACAATGTTTTGCTGCTAATGTTACATATCTTAGTGTATCTTCTGCAGTACTTTTTCAGACAATTTGTGCACCAAAAAGGAAAGAGAATCCCATACTTTTCATGATCTCAACAAAAAAATTTAACCACATACAAAAATGATGATTTATCCTGAAAACTGTGCAAGCTTCATATTTGGATGTGCCTTTTTGAAGAATGCAGCTTAAAGGCTTTCTCAGATGACTACCTGACCTCGACGGAATCTAAAGCCGCATATCTTCCACTTTTATTCCCTCTTTATCTTTTCCTGCAACCTGCATGTGCCAGGTGATTAAACAGTCCCTTCAAACGGCAAAGTGCATTCCTCTATCTAGTTTCAAAGATCGCAACAACTTCCTACTCTGGCTGGTAAGCAATAACTGTGTGTTTCCCTATCATCTTCCTTGGTTTTATAAACACTGTATAACTTTGACAGGATGTGACAGGAATTTAAATGCAGGCACTTTTAAACTGGTTCACCATCTATAAACATCCTCCGCAGAACGGCTGGGACTGTAGATTATCAAAGTCAGTGTGGACTCCAGATGTCCACATTGCTGCATGGATCAAGCAAAGCTTATTTACATAATTACATTCAAATTGCTCGATAAAACTCGGCTTGGAATGTTTTTTTCTTTTTCCCAGTGTGTGATGAAATAACCATTTGACAGCATATGTCTATGTAAAAATACAAACAGAAGAACAGGAGTTTGAAAGAAAAAAAAGAGAGGCCTTGAAAAAGAGTTCAGGTAAGGTCTAGGGGCCAAATAGTGAGGGCAGGGAATCTCATAAAGAAGTCCTTCAAGGATTCAAGAGCAAATGCACTGAGGTGAAGGTATTCAACATGAAAAAGACGATGTCATCCACAATACCTCGACTAATGTGTTCTGTGCCTTTAACAGCAGAATTGAAAAAGACTGGAGCAGTAAAGGAACTTTTTACATGAGATTCCGCTAAAATAACACTCATTTTGAAATGAACACAAAAAAACAACTTGAATATACCATTTCAGAAGAGACTGACAGGATTGCTGAAATGACGCGTCTCTTCTCATTTGATAGCTGTCAAGAAGTTTTTCTTTTAATCCATCATCGTGTATAAACATAACAGAGATGAAAGAAGCAGCTGATTGCCGAATGTCAGATAAGCTGCGAGTTCTGAGTTGAGGTTACCATGGTGAGGTTGATTTCAACTGGCTCAGACTGAAAATGAACTCAAACTGCTGCTATTCAGGGGAAAAATATAACTCCTGACATTTCAGGCTTTTTTTTTTTTAGCAAACACTTGCATATGATACAAGGCTTAGGGTCAGAAGATGTGGCAAGTTACAGATAAAGTTGCATGCATTCATTTAAAGCAGGAACTTTCATTTGAAATATAATTAGTAAGAAATTGACTGTCTCAGAAAGCTATGCTGTGGTGTGGAGGTTGGCAGTTTTTTTCATAGATGTTCACATCATGGCTGTATCATGCATTGTTGTGGTTTCTTAAAATTGACCCTAGAAGTGAGTGAGAGTCTGTACGTTTGGTAGCTGGAATATGTTTCAGCGGCAGTGAACCTTCACTGGATGAAAAATAAAGAGAAAATAGAGGGATGGCTCTTCTCTCTTGGGAAAAATCATCATAAGAAAGAGCAATTAAGCAATTATTCCAGTGAGGAGCCAGGCACATTTGGATGGTATTCTCAGACAAATGGTTCAAGATGAGTAAAAAAGAGAGTCTAGCCATAATTTTATTTGCATAGAAGCATCAATAGATTGCTACTGATATTAATACCACAAATAGACTACAAATATACCATCATGATAGTCAATATAATTTAAGAGTGACAATTTGGAAGATAATCACTGAAATGGCATTAACATTACAGGGATATTGTAATCACAGACACAATGAACTGTTAGGTTTAGAAAATTGCATTTTTCTATTGGCTAATTTACAGAAAGTTATCTGTCCACAATGATTCTCTTTCAATAACATAATCTCCACTATGCTTTGGTGCTTTGGTTTGGTCTTAGCAACCGTCTGACAGCTCAGTAGGTTGTGTAATCAGCAATCAGCGGCGAGGTGACGGTATCCACAGTCCCCACACACCTGAGCAGAGAGACGCCTGATTATGTGGCCTCTCCTAACGTGATGTTCCACCAGCTGTTGACACACGCACCGCTAAAAGCCGGCCTCCTCCCCCCTTCATCCCTCCACTCCCCCTGAATCCCTGCCAGCGCTATGAGCTTGTCTAACTCCGCCGCTGCCGCACCGTCATCCATTATACATCCATTGTAATGAAAACATTCTTAATTCATGATGTTTATTGCCGCGGATAAATGGCTTGTCAACTTAAAGAACAGAACGGAACCGGAAAGCTGACGGAAATTCGGAGTTCACGAGAAAAGTGGCTAAGACGGGGCTCATTGAGGCTTCTTGAAAGCTGACACATACAGCTGACCTCGCACAAAAACCATGGCGGTCCCTGTCTTCTAGTCCCAGGAAACATCTTTCTAAAAAGCACGCTGACGGGGGTGAAAAGGTCACCCTCTGCACAGAGCGTAAGCCAAAGTAATTAAATTACTATCGCATTTTAGGCAAATTAGCTGATACGTATGTCCAAAATTATTAACAATGAATGGATATATGGAATAATCCCTGTGGAAATGGTAGAAAAAAGCACTTGCTCTTGTTCTTTTGTGCTGCTCAATCTCGCAAAGTGAAATAATGACACTGTTCATTTGTGAAAACACATTAAAATGAGAATATATAAAAAAATTAGCATAGAAGGCACAAAAAAAACGGGGAAAAAAAGTGCTAAAGATTTTCAGCATTTAAGATGAAAGGTCTAACTAGAACTTCTTGTAGTTTTTAAGGCAACGATAAAGACGGTATACATCAGAGGAAATTAATCTTAACGAATTAAAACCCTTCACATATTTGAAAGTCTTCCAAACTTGAGAGACTTGAGTACGGAGACATTTGTAAAAGTCAGCGTAACATGTTATGGTGGCAATGCAATATTTGCAGGTTTTCTCAAGTGCAAAAAATCTATTTCTGTATGTCCTTCACAGTCCTCTGCAGTCGTGAAGCCCGACGTTTTAGCCATGGGTGTTACTTAGTCGATGCCCTGTGTTGTGTTGTCTAGTTCAGCGGGGAGGCCGTGTCCCTCGAGTGTGTGTGTGTTGTGGTTGAGCGAATGCATGTTACTGCAGTAACGGCAAAGGACAGGCTTTGGGTAATGAGTCATTATAAGAGGAGCTCAGGTTACAGCATTGTGACATTAGGATGCAATGAGGCCCATGTTAATGAATGCCACAACAGTGCCACCATCCTATCCCTCATCAGCAGAGCACAGCAGACTGTTGAGGCTCTTGGCAGCAAGCAGACAAGACAAAGTGAAATAAAAACTGTAAACAAACGTCACAATATATATAATATAATAGACTCTTTTTTTTCAGTGTGAAATTTACGGATGAAGAATATGACTTATTTCAAATGGATACCAGAAGAAAATCTACATTTAGGTTTGAATTCATGGTTTAAATTCATATTACAAATTTATTTAAAAAAAATCATATTTGACATAATCCTTGGAAAGTCTTTAAAAAAGAATTGGCCAAACATTTATGTTTCTTCTTGTCATATTTAGAATTTTATTGAGGGGAGCTTGATCTTTTGATGTGATTCATAAGTGATTTCCCAGACCTTGAACAAACTATTACATTAAATAAAATCACGTTGGTGGAAGGCTTTTCAAAAAGTGTTTTCGGATTTTGATTCGAGCTTTTACATATCTGTCACTTTTCATCACAAGGTAACACTCCTGTGCTCAGTTTTCCACACCCACTTAAGTCGTACCTTGTGAGGTTGATGCTGCAGCTTGCTGGATTGCAGTTGTCTCCTGGTTCAGTCTCTTCTTTGCCTCCAGGACAGGGTTCTCAAACTGGGTTTTCTGGTTGATGTGGCTAAAAAAAAAACACACAAAAAAACAAGTCAGGAATAAATAGGATAGACTTTTAATCAAAACTTCCATAACATCTCTTACTTATTAAACTTTCTTCATGCCTTTTTCTCTGCAGTTAATTATTCATGCCCAGACCCTTTTAAGAAACCATGATTTTCAAACAGAGGGAAGCCATAACAGAGCTACCATTAACAAATTCAAAAGGATGTATACACATGTTTAAAGGGTCATGAGGGGAAATGCTTTGTAGCCACTTAGTATTGTCGGAAATGAAGTCCTGGCTGCCAGTGGCATCCTGTTCCTCTACAACAAGGCAAACAGCTTGTTGTTTCTCTGGCATAAAAAAACAAGGGCTATTATTTCCCAGTGAGCTCATTTCAAACTAAACACTGGCAGCTCCAACCTCCATCGATGTGTCATTGACTCTCCTTGACCAAATAGTACAAGTTTTTCTCTCTCGTGTCAGCTCTTCGTGGGAGTTTTTCATCGGCAGCCCGAGCAATAAAAACAACACGAGCCTTTCCATTTTTGTTCCATCACAACAGATTGCCACCTCTCCTGCCAGTCTGCCGTTTGCTGCTTCCATGCCTTCTAGTTAAGGATCTCCCCATTTTTCTCAGCGGCTGTTGAGGCTAATGGCTTTTTTAATGCGTTTTCTGTCATAACGGCAAGCATGAAAACACATCGCGCACGTACGAAATGAACTGAAAATATATAAAGATGAATACACAGACTCTTCTATACACGCGCGAACCTACTGGCACCGATAACAGTGAGGGCCTAATCAGTGCTGTGCTCACACGGAGGTCACAGAACGTTTCAGTTTGCCACCGACTGATAAACGGCGAGAAAATCCTAATCAAACTCTTCCAGGTAAATGCTTCCTCTCTGCATGTTACATGAGTGAAAACCTACTCCCATGAGACGAGCAAAATATGCTGTGTGCTAAAATCGTTCATTTTATTTTTCAGAAAGAATTGATTTACACCACCCCAGAGCTAATATAAAGAGAGCAGAGTAATATTCACAATTGTCTTGATTTCTACTGAACATCTAGGGTAAACAATGGATATAGTGTTATTTTCAATGTATGAGATGGTGGTTATGTTTGGAGATTAGATCAACAGAATCATTAAACTTACTCAACGTAGTATGTGCCGTACTGTGGGTCATCAATTTTCTCCCAGCCATACGGTAACTCTGTAAAAAGAAAAATGTAATGTTCTACTGTGTCATAAAGGGATGCAAATCACAGCCTGAAAAGACAAAGAAGATAAACAAGCTCAATATTCTGCCAACATCTGAGACCTATAAGTGGTTCAACACAATGACGGGGCGGACGTATAAAACTGTGTGTTTTACCCTCTTGACTTAATTTGAGAACACAGGAAAGTAAGCATGAAAATAATTACAATAATTTAGAGCACGTTTCTGAGCTCTTTCTAAGCAGGGGCCGCTGACGTACATCGTGTCCTGACGATCATATCAGGCAGAAAGAGGAAAAAAGGGCTCTTAACGCTAGAAAGAGCTTCAGAGTTTCTTTTCAGAAGCACCACACCATCCCGTCTTTCTGTTGTGAAATTCCATTAAAACCAGGCTGGAAGGGTCCTTCTCTTTTAGTTTTGGCCACTCCATGCCTCTGCCTGCACTTAAGCGCGCATTATCATCCTGAGGATACAAAAGCACATCTGGAATTCTTTTAAGTAGACTCTAGCTTCAGATTTCTGCAAAAATTAGGCCACGACACTGTGACGTTGACAATTACTTTTAGATGATGTGTCACTTTCAAAGACGAGTTGAAAACTCAGTATACCCTGGTTATGCAAGGGATCTATGAATAAGTGTGAATTAATGGGCTGTGTTATGTAAGGCGTATAAGATATAGGTATGGCCAGATGTAAACGCATGGGCAGTAGTTAATGGAGTTATTGTATGCTTGAGTAGGCCAGAGTGGCTGAGTAATCTACAGCACGTACCGCCATCTTCGCACTTCTCGGGGGGCTTCGCTTTCTTTGCCAAGCGGGGGTCCAACCACGTGGTCGTCTTGGTATTGTGACTGCGAAGCACAAAAACAGCAGCCAGTAAATATCAACAATGAAGACTCGCGCCAGCAGGGAAACGGCATGAAGCACAAGGAGCAAACAAAAGGATGCACCGCGCCGGATAAACAGCAGGCGCGTTCCCCGCTACATTATGCACTCTCGTGCACAGGGCTTATTGAATTTATCAACAAAAGGTATGATCCACTCATTTCTGTTCCTCTGTCAATGCGTTTACGGTTAGGTGGCCATTTCAAACGGCAGAACAAAAAAACAGATGAATGTGAAGAATGACTTGTTGATCCTCAAATATAATAAATAACTCGAGTGTGTAATCAGGAAATCCAAATGACTCTGATATCTTAGGAGATAAGCGGCTTAGAACTAGATGTGAATGAAACAAACATGACTTGTACGCACACAAAGATCTTTGAAAGGCTTCTGTATTATTAAGAAAGCAAAAAAGAGTGATGCATTTTTATGAAACTTTTTTTTAAAACCAATCTTCGCGACCTGACTTGTGTGAGAAAAACTAAAAAAAAAAAACACAAAAGAAAATGATGAAAGTCTGGAGCTGTTGTCTCATTGTTACGCAGTTTGTCTTATCTTTAAGCCCGTGCATATTTTGATTAAAACTATATAAAAGCTCATCCTTTTTGTAGCCGCCGTTTAAATGGATTTTTCACCCAAACAGACATTAATTCCAGAAGTTATTAATCGGCTGAAAACATATAAAAAACTGTGCGTTTCTGCCCATGGAATCCTAAAACGGACTTAAAATGGCTCGGATGTGGCTATATGCCTCACCTCATTCTGTGAATGGGGATCTATGAAGAGCTAAACTTTGCCCGCTTGTATCTCTGCAGAACAGCAGCGGCTATTGGCTAACGGTCAGCCCCCCAGACCAGCGGAGTGAGCCAGCATTAACCACTCACCCCTGTCTAACTCCCTCTCTTCAGCTAGCTTCTCCCTTAATCGGTGGCTTGCAGCTCATGCAAAATAGCTGTACAGCTCTACCCTGGATGTTACCTGGAATATCTCCTCCAGCCTTTTTTGGTGAAATATGTCTGAATTGACCTTTCTGAGACCGAGAATATATTTAGTAGCATCAGGCAGAGGCCTCTGGCCACAGCACTGATGCTGTCTTTGATCATGCCATTTCTTTCAAATATGAATGCAACTGATACGTTTTGAGCTCAGCCAGGTATTTCTCCTTTGTCGTTACATGCTAGCATCATTCACGCACAAACATTTCTGGACAGAAAGCGTTGTTTTTGGAGCTTTGTTGGCTGAAAAAAAAAAAAGATCTGAAATTGATGTCAGAATAACAGCCTGCTGAGAATTTTTTACGTGATCAAAAAGAACACTAATTTGAGTCGTTTTCACTTTTCTTTCAAACAACCTTTTGATAATTAAATATTGTTTTATTGCCAGTTCTTGGGCTGTTGTTGCAGAAGTGATATAAGTAAGAGCTAAATGCGTTTATTAATTCTATTTAACTATGATTGCACTGAAATGTTAAATGTAATTGCTAATCAATCTAATTACAAAATCAGCGAGAATTACCATTTAATTCAAATTTGAAAAAGAAAACAACATTTCATATTTTTCAATTAGCCAGTCAAACATACCAAATACGTCTACTTTGCACAATTAAAACAAAACAAAATACAGAAACCCATATAACAAAGTACACGCTTTGTAAAGGTCCTCGTATAGGCCAAAAATTCCAGCTGCGAATGTATGACTTTTGTATTTGTTAAATCCTTGACACCCAAAGATTGTTGAAGGTCTTTTGACTTCATTTTTGCTAAAAAAAAAAAAAAAAAAAAATCAGGCCTGTTTTCACTTACTCTATGAAGTAGACCATGCCAGTCTCGGTGTAAGCCATCTCCCAGTTGAGGGGCAGTGGCTCGAGGCTATCGTCACGGGGAAGAGAGCTCCATGTACGGAAGTCCATTGTGCTGCTGGACTGAGTGTAGCTGGGCACTGCTTTCCTCCAGTCCTTGTGCTCTGGAGGTAGTGGACGGGCAGGTAAAAGGGAGGGGGAGCGAAAAGAAAAAGAGCAGAGACGGTTAAAGGTTACTCTCAGGACCTCTTCTTATCCCGTCTGCGGCCGGGGAGAAGAGGGAGAACTGTGTCATTCACATGATTTGCATGAAAGTAAATGGTGTGTGTGTGTGTGTGTGTGTGTATGAAAGAGAGAGGGAGAGTCAGCCAGAGGGCGGTTTTGCATTTCCTGGAGCACATGGTGCTATATATGTATGTGTGTGTGTACATTAACAGTGTATTAATGATATTGGTTCGGATTGACATGGAAAGGGCCAGACAGCATTTCCCTCCTAAAAAAACAGATTGCTTACGCTCCATGCCTTCTATCAGAAGATGTTCATGAAAGGATGAAACATAAGTGCTTTTCATCTTTCTTTTTTTTTTTTATAGGTGGAACTAATAAGCTTACAATAGAGGAAAATGTCAAGGAGACCGTGCACAGTGCAGGACAAACACAAATGCTTCTGAATTTTAAGCGATGCAAATCAATTACAAATCCAACAAAAACCTCACATTTATCATCACAAAGCCGGTTATCGACAACTTCTTTTTTATTTCGCGAGTGAGGTTCAAAAGAGGCCGAGACCCCACTTGACAACAGGGTCACAGTTGATGAGGACAATCCAAGTAAAGGACGGAGGAAGCTCCAGCAAAGAATTCAGAGATTTAGAGCTCACATTTTCCATTAACCTCTTTTTTCAATTTGACCATAACTCTCTCCATCTATGGCTGGACTGAAACTGCTCTGCTACAGCCCCACAGCTGTAGCAGAGCAGTCATTTGTGACTGGTTGAGTTCCATAAAAAGAACTCCTGGATCATTTTGTGTTTGATTTCAGTGCGACAGAGTAGTTGTGTAAACAGACATTGGATTTATGTGAATCCTTTGCACAGCTGAGCAAGCAGCGTTTGAGCTGAGTCTGTCAAACCAATATTTCATCCCATACAAATGATTTTCACTTTGGACCCACAGTCAACCCAAACACTATTCCAAAAAAGAGGTATGATGCACATCACATCACATCACCCGCTTCTGTTAACGGGCTGTTCTTCCTTTGAAACATTAAGGCTAGATTTGCTCCATAGGGACACGAGGATTTGTCCTTAATGATCTCATATGCAAGGGTCTTTCATTATGCTAAAATATGGTCTTTGTTAAGTGTCAGCATTTTCATGTTTGGTTATTGCTTTGTAAATGGCTTAAAGGTTACGTTTTTAAGATGTCATAAACTTTGGGCTGTAGGAAGTTGTGCCGTTACATTAATGAGAAAAATTAGAGCCCAAGAGTCTTGCTTTGCTTGACCAACAGATTAAAGAGAGTTTACTAATATTAGAAAAAAGAAAAAACAGTTTTTTTACATTTCAGTGGCAATAGTAATCTATATTTAAAAGTTTATAGACAACATTCTGTGGACTGGCTGGTTTATTTAGGATGTTTTTTACGTACACATGCAAGTTTTTCATTTGTAGAAAATATGATGCAAAAATGAAATAGAGTTCATGAGGAGGATCAGTTTGCTCAGGGAATTAATGATCAAAGATCTCTTTACACTCCTTTGTTGGACAGACCGACATGTCCTCAACTATTCAGCGAGCCTATCAAGCTGTATGCAACGAGAACACGTAACACAAGCACACACAAGTAGAAATGGCTATATCTTAACATAAAAAGCTAAAGACTCTATCTTTAAAATACATAACTAAAGACATACAATATTTGACAAAAACGGGACATGGCGTGCTGAGGTTTGACATGAACTGACCAGGCAGTCCATTGACCAGAGGGGGCCTCTCATCATCGTCCTCCTCCTCGGGTACGGCGCTATCCTTCCTGTCCATCTTACTGACGGAGGTGGTGCGTTTTCTGGGGACCTCACCACTGAAGTCTTCATCAAACAACACCTGATCCACCAGGTCAGGCTGCACAAGGTTGGGCTCTGCAGGAGGCTTCGGGGTCCCGTAGTAATTCCCTTAAAGAGAAAAGGACGAAAAAGCAGAGAGATGATGAGAGGAATGAAAACATGATACTGCATTAAAATACTGCAGACAAAACACTGAGTCGGTTTTTTGTTGTGTACAGACGAACCCAAAACCAGCTTAGTTCTCTAAAAGTCACAAACGAGCACTTGAGGGTGAACATTTAAAGGTTTCTGAGGTCCATATCCTGCATAATTATCCTCTTTTTTCCCATCCTGTTTTGTTTTATCTTGATAACTGCACAACAGAACCGTCATGAATCACGTAGCATTCAAATTAGTTCACTTTGAAACTGAAAACAACTAATTAATCTGATCATTGAATACAGCAATCATCTATCTCTTATCTTTTTTCCCCTTCTTATTAAGAAGGACCCCGTGTTATGGATTATAAATATTTAACAGGATCTCAGCACTCTGAAAGAGTGTAAAACTTGTTAAATTACTTTCTCATTAAACTCATGGGGTGACTCATCTATGTATGGCTGGTGAGCAATTTAGAAGCAAAAAAATGAAAGAAAATCTATCCCTATTAGGATTATAAATAATGTGTTGTAATTTTCTCATTTTTTCTTATTTGTTTAGCTTCATGTTGATCCATCAGACGTGTTTAAATATGATGATCACATTAATGTTTGTTGGCAATCCATATGCAAGATGAAATATTTCCTCAGTTTCCACAATAAGCAATCTCGGCTAAACCGCGATATACGATTAGATTAATTAAAGTAAACGGAGAAAACCCAATGGGAAACGGATATCTTGAGGAATTTAATTAGCTTCCATAAACTTGATCTAATTTTCATCTGGTCCCAGCTGTGAATGGGACTACGGTATTATGAGCCTTTTATATGGTTGAGCACGAGCATGAGGACATAACAAATGTTGTTGTGTAAGAGCGGCATTTATCAACTCCGGATCTTTTTATAGCTTGGTATAAAGAGCAGAAAGATGACAACAGCAGAAAGAACATAGGGCTCTGAGGGGAAACATCACAGTCATTCCAGCAGCTTTACAACACTGACACTAGCACCACGACAGCTTTTCTGTTAAGTGAACCTATCCCGAGCACAGCCTCATCTCTGTAGGAATGCCAAGAAGAATACTAGTTTAATACCACTGCTGCTGGTTTCTCTTAAACATCAGGAAGGGTGATGAGGAAAAAAGGTGGCTGAACGAAGGCCGGGGCCCCTCCCCCTCTTGACACAGCGGCGCCGTGTTTACCGAGCGACACTCATCCGCATTTGTCAAGCAAAGCTTCATTAACAGGGGTTGCATAACGATAGCAGCCAGAGATTGGGTGCGCTGGTCTAATCCCTGCCAGTCTCCTGCCACACGCCTGACATTCATCAGCCAGACGCTACCTCCGTGATTAATCACTTACAAACATGTCTCTTGGCCCCTGATAAATGCGTCCCCGCCGATACAGGAGGTGTGTGGAAGCGAGTGCGTCGGGGAAGATTTGTGGCACCCGTTTGCCATTATAAATGGCGGGCAGCCTCATAAGCTGATGAGCTGGGAAGCTTCTACAATGTTACTTGTGATCCCTGTGTCACAGGGCTGATGAGCTGGGAAGAGCCCAGCCTCCTCTTTCAAAGTGTGTGTGCAGGCAATTTCATGGTGGTGGAATCGGCTGCTGGTAATGATAGATCCCTGTTGTCAAAGACACTATGTATCAGCTACACAAGGTCATGAGCCCTTTCATCTTAGAGGGATTGAAGAGGAGACAGTTACACGCTCACACGACTCAAACTATGACCGAATGTTGCATTCCTATTGAAATCTAACTTAATCTCTGGTTCTACTTTCCTTTTTGAAAAGAATCGGACTCATTGCGAATGCGAATTTTGGCAAAATTTCACATTTCTTGGCAGCAGATTATAGATTGGGGAAGGAAAAAAACATCCATAGCTGACAGCTATATCACCAGTCTTAGTTTTAGTTTTAGTTTTTTGTCAGGGAGCTCTGTTGTGCTTGAAGATATCGGCTCAACTTGTACCTCAGAGGGACTGAGATTTAGAAAGGACAGACACTGGGAGTGTTTGGCACCAATAGCTAGGTTTCCGCTTGCCAGGTAACCTGGGACTCTCTGGCCAAACATGAAGTATCAAGCATGCCCCCAACCAACTACAGAGCAGCTTGGAGCTGCAGAAATGCACTATGAATTGGTATGCCAGCGCCGTGTCTGACAAACCTTTCTTGAAGGAAAATAAGGGATAAACAGGATCATATATGACAGGGGTCATTGACAAAGGGGTCCAAGGGGGTGGACAATTGTGTGGAAAACGACTCCAATCAAATATTTTCAAAGTGTAGAAAAACCATTATGCAGGACCATTAACATAATAAGCATTCAGGAAAGTCATTTGGGACTATTAGTGGGACCATTACGATTAGCTAAGAATCCCATTAGCTCAGCACCTTGAGCACAGCTCACTTAGTGTACACTAATAAACTGGAGGTAATTCACGAGCTCATCAATGCAGCCTCGAAACCCACGTGACATAGAAAAAAGGACAAGTGACTTCTTATTTTCCTCTTTTCAAAGAAAAAGAATGAGGCTGCGTGTCAAGCACAACTAAATGGAGGAAATCCCATTCCTCCATCCGAGGAGTTCCTCTTTCATTTTTTTTTTCCCCTGTGCTGCTGAGAGATCAACGCTGTACTACTGAAGCTGTTCAGTGCTTCTGCTGACTCGGTTTAAAAGGAAGAGAAGAGGAGGGCAGCAGCCACTATCAGAGCCTTTCCTCACAGGGACAGTATACCACAACCTTCAAACTTTTCGGTGGTTTAATCCGCACATCCGCACACAGCCAAGTCTGGACTGCTTGCTCTGCAACAGGGGTTTCCGTTGGGAGGTGAGGAGCTCAGCATGCCATATATCATCTCTCTCTATTTCATGGTTTTGCTCAGTTTGCTTTTCATTTCTCCATTTCTACCCACAGTCAACCTTTCTATAATGGTTGAAATCCCACCTGGCTTCAGCTTACGGAAGGACAGCTCGGAGGCGATTTGGCAGCTTCTCATATTTGTGTTCTTAGATGATCTTTTTCAACACAACACATTTTTTTCTGTGCATATGCAGCAGTGTACTTCAACAGTACAGAGCGCACACAAATTTTTCTATCATTATCAAGTCCTTATTGGCCTTTATTGAGGGTAAGATATCCCATTCTGAAAATCCCACACATCACATAAAAAAATGCACTTCATTATTACTCTTAAATAAAAACAAACAAAAGGTTCTACACATTCAGAGAAGCTTCATCAAGCTGATCTCAACCCGAGGCTTTGTTTTTCTGAGAGTGTATAAATTCATGCTAAAATTACACACAAGCACAAGCTGCAATATGATCAACCTATCCAGGGAGTCCATTTTACGCAACCAGACTCTACACCCTCAAACGTTTAAGTAAAATCCATCCCCGTTTCACAGCAGCTTGGATTTGCAGTAAAAAGAAAAATGAAAAAAGCAGAGCATTAAGAGAGTAGGGAGATTATCATGTTATTGCCATAATCATTGTGCAAATGTGAGAGAAATCCTCCAATCCAATCCTTTCGTGACACAAATACACTGCAGCCGTCTGACTTTCCAAGACCTCTGAATGGAGGGCAGCTGCTTATGCTCTATTGTGGCTTAAGGTGTTAGAAAAGGTTAATGCTTAGCCATGCTGCTGTTTTTCTGGGAAAATATCTCTGGCTGTATAAACTCCTTAATGGAAGTAGTTTGACAATATGACTATTGTCTATTTGTAAAAACAAAAATCAATTGGTGCTGGCATGATAGCCTCGTAAATGTGCTTTGAAATCAATAAAGAGATGTGGGGGGTTTTGCTCTCAAAGTTTATGTGATGAGTCAAATCTTTACAGTTGTGTCTGTGGGAGCTGAGAATAAAGGGGAAAAAAACGCAGGATGATCGACCCCATGAATAAAGCATGACTTGTAAGTAAGAACGCAAGTTTGCCCTCCTGATGTGCACATCTGTAAGCAGCCGGGGGGGTCAGGGGGTTGACCGGTTTACATGAGGTCACAGCAGGTGATAAAGCTGCTTACATATTCACACACCGCTGGGCAACGTCAACCGTCTACGGGCAAAATTTGACTCCAAACTGCCAATGCCGATAAGCAAAACTAAAAACAAAGCATTCGATTGGCTGACTATCGTTAATTGTGAGCTTGTTTTGTGCAGGTTCACGGTGAGCATTTCAGGGAGAAAAGCTGGAAATTGTCATTTGGGATTTGGTGGCAGTTCCCTGAAATTGGAGCTCTTTCAAAATGTCGGCATCTTGTGTTTCGATGTTTGGGCTCTTAACGGTTCGAGAGAGTCATTTTGAAATAGAATACCTTTCTGTCTTTGATTAACATCAACGTAAACAACTGGTGATGATTATGGACTGCAGAGCCACCCTACAAAAAGTCATTGACAACATTTATAAGCTCTGCGAACACATGCCCTTTTACCAAATTTAGCCTTAAATAGATACAGCAAAGACCTAAAATTACAGACCAACATGCATCACTGTCTTTTCTTGGAGAATCAATTATTGTCCATTGAAAATTGCTGGTTCAGCAGCACAATGCTCTAAACCATAGCTGAAGCCTTGGCTCCTGAGAGGCTGCACGGTGATGTTATTACTCTATGTGAGGATGTATGTGCGTGCTGGGGTCATGACTGGGACGAATGAGGAGGGAAAAGAAATGAGTGAAAAAGAATTGTTTATTCTCCACTGTGAAAAGAAAGTTGGGAAAAATCTAAAATCCAAAGATAAATATAAAAATATAGTGTTTTGCAAACCTTGGTTTTGACTATAAAAATGTTGTTCTGAGTTGATGGGTAACATTTTAAGCCGGACCACTGAAAGTGACCCATCCAGGACAATCCTTTCTGGCATTGTTGGGTAGAGTTAACGCCCCTGTTCCATATTCAGATATTTCAGACAGACTTCAGTTATCAGCGTATCGCAATTGTTCACTCACAGTAAACATCCGAGAGCGCAAAGTAAGCTGCCGTTAACTAACACAGCCACTGTGCATTTCATAGACTCTGATCTTCTCTGTCACATACATGCACCCACACAGTCAAAGGATGCTTCTCCATCTGGTGTGTGTCGGAGCGACAAACAGCTTCTCAGACATACTTCTCACATTTTGGGCCATTTGCACGCTCTTGGAGGCGGTATAAAAAATGTGAATTTGCTAAAATCCACGCCCCTCTACATTGTTTGTGCGACTGCTGGTCTTCCAGCCGTGCCCCTTTTGCAACAAAAACAAAAATCATAAGCAGGTAAAAAGGGCTTTTGGTGCAGCAAGACTGTTAGAAAATTATCTAGATTTGACAAATGAGGCCATAAATGAGGAAGAAATGTCTTCAATTCCTCATAGATCTTTTTAGTTTTTCATGCTTCCTGGTCTCTGTGGTCATTCTGTTGTGGTTGTCCATTTCAGGTTTCAGCGGCTTTTGACCAACTTTTGTTTGTGGCAACAACTGTGAGCAACAAATATTCTGGACCAGTGGTGTTTCTCTGATTTTTTAAGAGAAATTGGCGCAGTTTCTAGCCTTTTTTCCCCATTATATTTATATTAGAGCTGTACAATTACAGAAAATGCAGATTAAGAGATTAGAATTAGAAAAAAAGTCCACTATACAAAGATCCTGATGTCAATTTTTCAGAAATCTTTCGAGGTAGGTGTCTGGATTTGACTTAACTTCTAAAACAGTTGTGTATGAAAAATAATTAAATAATCCTCCACGCATTAAAACGGTCTATTTCTGCCTGGAAAATGTTTTAAAATAGGCTCATTTTAATTGAAAAAAGTTACTCCTTTGAACTGATTTCACAGCATAATGCCCAAAGAGTGAAGAAGCAGCATTGTGGCATTCATCTTAAGGGCTCTGAATCATCACTTCCAACAAGTGTGTAATCACGTTCCACTGATCGATACATTTCTTCCCTCTCATCAAAACTATGACAGTCACAATGACTGTGACTGTCGCATTTCTGCTCACTATTATTGGGAGCTGTCAGTATGAATCGTAGACATCGATGGACCCCACAATCCCATTTCCCATTCTGGTACTCACCATCATAGGTCCCACTCTCCAAGAGAAGTCCACTTTCCTCCAAGATCCTGAAGTCTCCAATGCTAATGAAGTTGTAGTCAACGCCAGGAACCTCCCCGTCTCGAGGAAGCCGCGTGGTACCTAGAAAAACGACCAAAGACATTATTGCCATGATGTGCAGACAAACTCAATTTAAAAATTCTGCATGGAACTAATGATCCAACAATGATTTTGAATATTCAAACAACCCTACAAAACTAAGCTGCTAATTTAGCATACACAATCTTTCACTGGGGTGAAAGAGCACCATCGCTTCACATCAAGAGGGTTCGGGGTTCGAGTCCCTGGGGAAACAAGAACCTTTCTGTGTGGAGTTTGCATGTTCTCCCTGTCTCTGCGTGGGTTCTCTCCGGGTTCTCCAGCTTCCTCCCACAGTCCAAAAACCTGCTAGGTTGATTGGACATTCCAAATAGCCCTTTAGGAGTGAGTGTGCGTGGTTGTTTGCACTTGTGTGTCTCTGTGTGGACCTGCAATGGACTGGCATACTCTCCAGGGTGACCCCGCCTCTCACCTATTGACTACTGGGATAGGCTAAAGTTCCCCCCGTGACCCCATTAGGGAATAAGCGGTTATGAAAATGGATGGATGGATCTTTCACTGGAGTAAAAACAAACAAACAAACATGTATCCACAGCTTTTTAAAGGCGGTTGATCGACCTGTGACATGAAGTAGGTGCCTGCCACAGCAGACATCTGGTTTTGCAGACCTTTAATAGACTTTACTTGAATATCATGTCTTAAAAATGTTTTTGTAACCCTTATCTGTTTACTAGGGCTATACTGAAAATAGTTTGATTGGAGCCCTGTTGTAAAATACAAGATAAGCCTTCAGGGTGCAAGAAAGACAGCTTTTTTGAAAAAAATTTCTAAGATTAACTACAGCTTCTGCGAACACATGATTACTGGGAGCCTCTTGATGATTGTAACAGCAGCTTAAATCAGAAAACAGGAGACTAAATTATAGATGTGAATTACGATCGAAATAATGAGTTGTGTAACTTCCTGGTATGATTTGGGTTCACACAGTTCCAAGAAGGGCAACCTGAATGCAAATTGCATGTGAGCATTCTTAGTCAGTCTGTGTTCCTGTGGTGAAGCCACAATCTATTTTCAGGGTTAATGGGAGAGTTTTTTCTACCAGGATGAGCATTCGCTGTGCACATACGGGCACCAAATGATTATATTAGCAAGATCGCCTAAATCTTATTATATGAAAATTAAGATACGGAGTGCCACAAATGTGCTGAAGTGTGGCATGTTGGCATGTCATTAAACTTGTAAACTCCATAAGTATGACGATAACCACAACAACTTGGGACTGAATTAGAGTGACTTTTTTAAAGGGGGAAACAGAAAAATACGAACAAATGAACCCTCAATAATGCAATGTTTGACAGTCTGTCAATTACATAAATGTCAGCAGTTCTAATATAGCAAAATCAGGTTCAGTCATTTGGAGGATCACAGAAAGGACAGTGGTCTGGGGTTTGTTAGCAAACAAAACAGTCGTGCCAATTGCTGTGCCTACAAAAAAAACCCAACCTTTTCCATCAACGGGAACAGAAGGCTGTGGAAATGCATCATACTTTGTGAAATAATTACAGTTTTTCCGTCGACTCTGTAGAGTTACACTTGTGAGGAGGCATGCAAGGTTGTCAGAAAATTACAGTGCAGGCCTCTGCTTGTTTTGTGCCTTGGCCAGTTAATTGGATTATGCTCTTTTGTCACTGTTCACATACTTGTAGGGAGACAGATCTACTACTGCTTGTGTGCCAAGAATAGTTGATTTATGGCCTTGTTGAGTGTTAGTGTGTGTGTGTGCATATATATATATATATATATATGTATATATATATATGAATGTATTTTATAAATTATTGTCAGACTGTGTAGATACAACAGCAAGTGTGTTTGTAAGGAATATTGCTTTGCCTTAGTTCATTTTACTTTTAACCAACTTTTTAAAGATCGACTACTGACTGAAGTCTCAAAATCAAAAGCGCCGATCCCACTCGAGATAATAATTCAACAAGGTGTAAACTATCCACCTGAACAGGCTTGAAGCACAAACAGCGAACTGCTGTGTTTCAGATGGGTTTGGGTCTTCTGCCAAGTTGATAAGATCTGCTTTATGGGTTCAATCTTGTGGCTGATCTTTCCAGACAAAATGTCAGAGAAAGGCTCGTAGAAGAGCGCTGCAGGAGGATTCAAGTTGGTGGAGAGACGCTGGAAACTTAAAACAGAATGTTGAATAATCTGGCACCAATCCATGCATATTTATGATTTATCATATTTTAACAACAACATAAAGCAGTTTATACAGCAGCGTTATTTAAAAATCATTAATTGAAAGTATTACTGATTTGTTTGTTTACAGTATATTGTGTTACTTTTGAATAATCCAAAAGGGCTTCCGAGCCTTTTAACTTGAAAAAAAATCCCACTCATGGTACTAATCATTTGTTGCATCTTTGAATTGGATATTTGACACTTAAAAATTTTAACCAATTTACATTAAAGAGACTCAGCGGCCTATTAACAAGCTTCATGTTGCCATTTGCATGTTTTTTTTTCTCCAGTCTTACATTTTAGTCTAATTAGACTGTAAAGCACACACGGAAAAGCCCCCTTTAACCCGGCAGCTTGCCTTACCAAAAGCAGCTGACATTGCATCATGTTTCAGAATGTCAGCCTCTGCTGCCTCTCATTACCAACTCGTCTGCAGTTGGCACAGGTTTTGGGCGCTCAAAAGTGTCCCCTGTAGCCCAATTACATGAGTCTCACTTTGTACCTGCCAGGAAGCTCCCTAACGTATCAGCTTGGATGTCACAGTGATATTTACCGTCGTCCACTGCTGTGGATCAGTCGCCACCGCTATAATGAGGGGATGACGGGTGTCAGCCGTAACGCATTTACCGGTGGAACCTTATCATTCTTTCATTTCTTTTTTTGGGCAAGGATTTTTAACAAAATTCTTAATAAAAATGGTAAAAAATAAATAAAAACAGGGTCATTTTGAAAAGGTTTCAGAGGCATGATTCAACTGACAGACAAAGGAGAGTGGATGTGGAAATTGTTTTCATATTCAAGTAATATTCTGCAGACTTGAGCATACCTGGAAGAGAAGAGAATGGACATTTGGACTACCATAACCGTGAAAACGAAAACATTATTGGGTGTAATTTTACAAAAAAACACCAATACCAATGTCAAGGTCTTCTTTTAACTCAATGACTTTGTGAAGTGGATAAAAAAAGACTGTCTACACTGATCTAAAGCTGTTTGTCCCTTCAGACATGTGAGGTCTGACTACTTTATTTGTAACCGTCTACACAGATGATGGCAAAATGGGAACATCGGAAGAAGTCAGTCAGAAGAGGGAGGTCATAAATTTCACATGGATATTTTGTGTGCGGCTTTATGATGGTGCTTCAAAAAGTAGCTCGGGGCTTTGATGGTGAAACAGTGAGAAAGAAAGGAAAGGGGGATCATTACAAATTCAGCCCTTTTCTGTACTTTAGTGGAACATTCACTTTTCTGGTAATGATGCAAACTCTGTCAGGTGGCTCGTTGTTTTGTGGTGATCCCAATTTCCTATCACTTGTCTTCCATAGTCCTGCAAAATGAGTTGTAAACACATTGATGTAAACACTATGCGAAAATGATTTGTCCAAAATCAGTGGCAAAAAAAGAGCTGACGGTTTGGGAAAAGAGTTTGGGGAATTGAAAAGAAGCAACAGGCCCATTTCCCAGCAAGTTACTGGTCCCTTTGCTGTGTTGTGCCATGGTTCACTCCACTGCCATCAAGTTGTCACACATAGATGACCATGTCATTTTTAGCACACAAAGTGGTCTTCAGCATCAATTCTTAGTGTCCAGGGTCCGGCAGACTTGAACTTAACTCCAGCCAAGCCGCTGAACTGGAACTAAACATTCTCTGCTGAGAAAAAGGCAGTGTTGCTGGAGACTCCCAAAAAAGAAAAGAAGAAGAAAAAACTTGCCAGTGTTTAACAAAGGAAAACTGTATGATCGAGGAAGATTTTCCTCAAACCCTAAATCAGAAAAAGACGGTCTGGGACAAAAACAGGCTGATTAGAATGGACTCATTTCACATCAGACAGTTCAAACCCATCTGATGTTTTGCACAATCATCTCCATTTCACTTGTTTTGTTTCATGTGTGCGACACATGGGATGGCGGAGCTTTTACCAAGGCTCTGCCTTTGTACTGCATAGAGGGTATGGTTTTGGGCTGTTATGCCGAAAAAAAGCATTGATATCCAGACAAATGGTTCAAAGTGAGCATATGTCGTCCTATGATCTCGTAAACAGATACAACGCCATACCACTTTCGGGTGGTAATAACAGTCTGGTTGGTCTTTCAATTTTTTCCTGAGTAGACAGAGTCCATTTCGCAGAGAAAAAAAAAAAAAACTCAACAGACGTCTTCATGTCCAGACAAGTGAACTCTTGGTCTAGACAAGGCTTGCTCATGCACAGTAAAATTTTAAATGACTGTGAATGTGTCCTCTGGCGCTTCACAAAGGTTTCCCGCCGTAATGCCTCACACCTGCGTGTTTAGTCAGACATGCAGGACCGTCCATTAAAAGAATAATACGTGTCCGGCCAAGGTTTGCATTGTTACCCTTTCAACTCAGATTTCCTGAGTCCTGTAATTATGTTAAGTACTGAGGAGGAGAAATATGCAAATCCCTTTAATTATTTCCTCAGAGAACATTGTTTTTTAATATCAAGGTGGGCTTCTTTCACATTTATTGATAAACAGGAGACTTTTTGGCCGTCTTAATCTATCAATGTGTCATAATTTTATTATTAATATTATTTTAGTCATCTGCTGACTTCACCCATTTAAAATAATAATTTTGAAAACCCAATTACAGGTATGGAGGATAGTAACTTGCCAATACTAGTGTATAGCTGTTAAATGAACACATATAGCAAACTTGGCATGTTATAAAAAGACTATTAACTAGTAACATTTTTAAACTTCATATCAGCATTATTGCTTGTAGGGTGCCTGCTCTGGCCTTTTTCAAATCTGGATGTACTGACACGCGCTTATTTAGACTGAGAATATGCCGTGAATCTAACAGTATCCTATACAGCAACAGCTGAATCTTTGAAGCAACATATTTCTGCTATGATTTCTTTCACAGTCAACCAGATCAGGGAAAAAAAAACCAATACATGTATGAAAGTGAGAGGCATGGGGTAATTGAAACTGAACAGGAGCATAAGTCAAACAGAGAAGGAGAGGGATCTGGGACTGTTGGAGGCACTGCCATTGTGCAAAACTTGCTCTCCTGCTCATTAAAATAATGAGTAATTCAGACAGGATCATTAGAGACTCGTGCAGCTGGTCGACTGGCTGCTAATGATAAGAAGTGGTTAAAGGCTGTTCCTAGTGTACATGAAAAGAAAAAAGGTTGTTTGATTTGGCAGGTATAAGCCCGGGAACACGTGAATAACGGAAGGCACAGCTAGCAAGAAGTATGTGTGTGAATAAAAGAGAAATTGCGAATGACAGGTAGCAGCATCGTAAGACAAAAATCCTCTGTAATCATCTTCCATCCGTCTACTGTCGCTGACCCTAAACATTCCCCGTGCAACAAAGCTCCGAAAAAAAAAAAAAAAAAAAACTCTGTAAAAATGAAGTTGAACTCAATACTCTGGGACACGCAGCTCAGAACATGACTCAAGAGGTAAGTGAAAGGGACAAACAGGGACACAGTAGACAGAGAGGATGAAAAGGAGGTAAAGAAAAGGTTGAGGTGGGGAGAGGTCTGTAGAGGAAAATCTTTACTTTCAAGGCAAACAGAGGAAAGGGAAATGAAATATACATGAAAGGTAAACAACTTACTTCCTTAAAAAATTTCACACTTGTACACTCGAGTCCCCAGTGAGCAAGGCATAGCAACTTCCAGCCTCGGGGGCGTAAGTGTGGAGATGTTGCTTGTTTGTGACAGTGCTGTGCCTAAAAGTCTGTCATCGCCTCAGGAGCAGCTGCTCTGTGTGCCACAAAAACCTTAACTACACTCCATTATGGCATTCCTCTGAGCAGAGTCATTCATCAGCTGGACATAGAAAAAATATCTGTATATAGCCGATTTATTCGTGGAAATGATCAGAAATTTTGAATGACTACCTCAACGTCAAGCCTAATATTGATATAGCTTCACAGTGAGCAATACCCCTTAATAAATTGCATATTCTAAATCAAAATAATGTTTTCTTTGGATAACCTTTCCTCGTATTTTTAGATGCCCTTCAACCTTTGAAATCCTCGAATGATTTAAAAGTCCTTCATTAAAAAAAGAAAATAGCCATTTCTTTTTATTTAGTGTTATTTGCACCCAGATGAGCTTAGCTTACTCTGCAATACGCTGCAATCAATAGACATTTCAATTTAGCATGAATGACTTTTTTTTCCCACACAGGAGGCCATTCTCTGCTGTGGTTGTTGGCAGTCCGCAGTGCCAACTTTATTTACCACTCCATTAATGATTTCAGCAAAGAATAATCGGTGCTGACAGGCCCACTGTGTAGAGTGTCAGCAAGGGAAGATGGTGCAGCAGGGGCAAAAAAAAAGAAAAGAAAAAAGAAAAAAGGAAGGTTATTTATGGACAGAATATGGCTTTGATCACTGCGATGATATGGTAGCGAAGTAAATAAGTTACATGGAGGTTTCAAGAGATGTCCTTGGCTATGTTGCTATGGTGATGCAATAAGTGTGTGCTTTATAGAGTGTGTGACGGAGAGCTATGAGTGACAATGGACGAGTTAAGTAAGTCCGCGTGTCTTAGTAACTGAGTGCGGATAGGGGAATTCATTAATACAGCTTCGTGTGTGATGGATTTCCCGCTTTGTGATGCATTCAGAGCTTCTCAGTTATTCCAATAAGGTGCTTTAGATAAAAGCATACAACGCCATGCACCAGAGTGGTTCTCAGTTAATGCTGCAACTTGCAGATTTGGCTCGAATAAGCGCTGTACATTCAGGTGGAGTACTTACAGGGGATGGTGCGCAGGTAGAGGTTGTCCCGTATAATCTGCTGGAGTTTGTGGTCCAGTGAGCCCTTCTGAAACTGCAGACTGAGGTAGTGGCGAAGATCTGTGTTCAACACTTTACCTGCAACGACAGGGGCAGAGGCAGGAAAGGTCAGTTAAAAACCCGCAGCTACTCTTTACATGGCCTGAATCTATTCTTGTAGCATATACTTTGCTTTCCGTGTCAAAATAGATACCCCTTACGCTAGAAGAGTCAAAACCTGACAGACATTTAGCACTGGGTACAATCTAAGGTCTTAATCCGAACAACAGTAAAATAAAGGAGAATAAAGGCTTTATATTGGGCGCAACTCAAAAGCAAATGGGGGACATAAAGGTCTTGGACAAATTCATTGCTCTGAGAACATCCAACTGTCAACTTTATAGCTGAAATTTTTTATCCTTTTAAAATTTTCTTTTAACTACCTCTTGTCTATGAAAAAAAAGGGACAAACTGACCTGAGATTAATCAAAACCCTCAACAATGGCATATATAAACTGCTCGGTAACATAAGAAGCCATTTTTACGCTTAACTATCTTCACAGTTTCAACAACCCCACACGAGTCTATAGAATCCTTTAAAAAGTTTACTCTTAATCCTCAGAGACCCTTTTTAAAGCAAAGAAAGTTCATGCAAAGTTTGAGGCACAGGAAAATTTTCAAATCTGATACACACAAGCAAGAAAAAGTTGCTTTGTGAAAACAACATGAACCCTAACAACATGAAAAACAGGAAGAGATCTTCAGTGTCTTCCTCCCATTAGCATCCCTAGCTCTTGACAGAGGAGGGAGACCTGACTAAAAAACAGACTCCAAAGAAGTCATAATTTTTGCAGCATTTCTTTTCAAAGCCGTCTCACTTTGTTTTTCTCATTTTTGAGCACACAGACCAAACTCTGCTCAATAAGTCTCCTTTCTCCGAGAAGGGCTAAATATGAGACTTTTTCTCCTGTACAAATGCTGGCATATGCTTACATATAGCAGGGATATACTTGATTTGGAAGGGGTTGAAAGAAAAATGATGAGGTCGGGAAATATCTTTGTAAGCTTTCTAAATCCTTAAATCATCTATCCATAACACAACAAGAACAAGGCAGGCAGTGACAACGCTGAGTTCCCATTATTTTGTGTTCTAAACTCACTCCCTCTCTATGTATTGAAGGCACATTAAAATGCCCCTTTTGTCCATAAGCCTCGGTACCATGCTGTTTCAGGAGCTGTCATCCCAGTGGGCCTTATTTTACCCAATAAAGGTTGCATGTTGTTTGCCTGCCTCTGCAAAAAAGAGCTGCACCAAAGCTGTTCCAGCACACAGGCAGAGCAACGAACCATCGCTCAATAAGGAAACTGCATCTCAGACCTGTCTGAGAATATGCTCTTATTTAGATTTAGTTGGGGTACTAAGAGGGAGGATAAGGCTGTTTCAACAAACTACCTATGTTCCACATAAAACCTTAGAGAAATACACAAAGTCATCTTTGAACCAGTCTCATCTAAAAGCCTAACACTCTTCTTTTTCTGTCTTGACTTGGTAGAACGATAAGTAAAAATGAATCCCAAATCCAAAATCATGAACAAGCAAAGATTAGACATCATCACCTATGAGGATTTCTTCTTTGTTTAATATGCTCTTTGAATGCTTTGCAAAGGTTTTGTAATATTTTATGAGCTCTACGTGTTTTTAAAATGTCTTTCTTGAGGAGAGATCCAATGTATTTTCCATCTTAAGTACAAAAAACTGTTTTTTTAGTCTCTTATCCTTGTCTTCTTTGAAAGTTTGAACTGGGTCACGAATCGCAAATGATGTACTACCTTGAAACCTTTGAGATGTTTGCCTGGACTGCTAGACTTCAAAACTGGCATTAATAACTTTGTTGTATTTCCTGGACCGGCTGATCAAATCCAATATTTCTGTTTGTATTGAATCGATTATCCAAACCGCACTCTAACAACATATTTGTCAGGATGAGGCAAAAATGGTGCCGGCTGTAAGCCAGTGACAACAATGCGCAGCACTTCTTCAAAGCTTGCTTGAAGCAGTATGGTGAAGCTACCAGGTGTGAATGAGCCTGTATGTAAAAAAAAAAAAGGAAAGAAAGCATAAATTGTGCAGGGAAAAATAGAAAAAAAAAGCGCGTGGGCCACAAAACTCACAGACACTGCTCTGATTCGGTCTCTGCACTACAGTAAGGTCTTTGTGGCTTCCTGAGTCCTGTCATAGACTGTTAGTGGAACAGTCAGATCAGAGAAGTTGCTCATTTCTCCCTCCCACAGATAACACCGCTATTGTAACGGGGCCCATTTTTTTTTATGATGGAGGTTCTGCAGGCTCCAATCTACCCCATCGCCTATCCACTCTTTTGTAAATGATTTCTGCAGAGTCAATATGATTTGACATGAGATAACATGTCAAATCATGAGATGACATGAGATATATCCATAGAGGAATACTTTTTTTTTTGGTCAAATTATCTGAATTTAAAATGCTTTTTTTCTCTTTTCCGAAATTCCCTTATTCCATTTCTTCCCTCTTCTCATTTCATATACTGCAGTCAGTGTGATGGCAGGAAATTGGACCTAATTTGTTCCCTGTCAGTTACCCCTAGCCTTTCCTCTCAGACTGACAGTATTGGAGTAGAATGGATGGATCCCTGTAAATTAAGCCATTGCTTCAAACCATCCCCCTCCTGGAGACCTTTTCTCTTCCTCTGCGACCTTTTGATTTTTGCATGAAGTAATGACAGGGGATGTGTCAAGAAAGAAGAAGGTATCCTGCTGATTTCCTTTCGCAACAAGTTGTCATTTCACTCAGCATCAGCAGTGCTCTTCTTCTTCTAAAATAAAAAAAACAAGCTCAGAGAAAATAGCTGTACTCACGCTGCAGTGATGGAGGCTTTGCCTGGCACTCCCTTTATGAAGTGACAGACTGTTAACATCCCCTATAAGACCAACACCTTGCTCAGGGACCACGGAATTAAATTAACGCTCAAAGCTGTAGACGTAACTTTCTCCCACACATACATGCGCTTGTTTGAAGAGATTTCGATGAAATGCAAATTCCAGTCTGCATATCGCACAAAAGCGCTAACTTGTTAGCTGTGATAATGACAAAAAACTTTATGTTCCCTTTAAAGCAAAGGGGACTGAGATTCTGAAAGTATTTAGGGAAGTGAGGAATTTACAGGTACATATTATCACTTGCATTGAAATGGTGTGAGAAGCAATGGATCTGATGCATAAAGATGTTAACAGATAAGACAGTACTGATGGAGGAGACTTGAAAATGACTAAGGAAAGTAGAAATGAAGAGACTTTCTTGCAAACAGTGCATATAAGGTGCTTCAGTGATTACTTCAACCAGATATCTGAACTTTTAGTGAGTTCAGACGTACCTCGGGTTGCTTCTGTACAGTACGACCAACGTTTTGGAAAAAAGATGAGTATGAGAAACCATCTTAGACGTTTCCATTGGATAAGGAAGAAAAATACCCAGCTTTCCTTGCAGCCAACCGGATGTCCATTAGGCAACAGATGTCAGCCGCATCTCAACTCAAAAAGGGAAACGTAAACCAACCTGATTGAGGTTCATACTGCCACTGATTTGTGTGGATATTTATTCTTACTAGCTGAGATTTTGGGGCTGTGTTGTACACTTTGACATTATATGTCACAGTACCTGAAAACTGAAGTAATGAAATCCCCTAAGAAAGTACCTGAAAGATTTTTAGGATCTGACTTACCTTCCTACTTTCCTGTTGTAAAACAACAGAAGAAATGGGAAGTAAATTCATTTTAGTTGGTTACAAATGTTTTTGTCGAATGCAGGTAGTCACAAAGTGAAGCAAAAGAAGCTTTATAAAAAAGTTATATTGAAGGTTGGATTTTCAGCCTTTTTTAAGACTGACATAAAGCTGCTTTGTTTGTTTAAAAACTCTGACACCCTTTGAAAGGAACTGTGCAGATTGATGTGCATGTGTGGTCTAAGACCCCAATGCAGGGATATCAGTTTGATATACAGACACTGACACAGCATCAAACACAAAGTGATGGAGCACATGTGCCAAAAAGTCATTCCACTCATTTCAAGGGCCCGGGTGTGTAGAGCAAGTCTTTATTTCCTCTTTATTTGACTTCTTAAACACAGTGAAAACTGAGAAAAATGTCTGGTGTCTATAATGACATTTCTGTCTGAGGCATTCTCCCTCGGGCATTTGGACGTCCAGTGGGAGGTCATTATCTCTGTCGTCTGACAGTCACTTAATTAACAGTACTCTGAATGGGGAATATGACAGGTCTGGAGATGTTCCCCGATACCTTCTTCAGCATACTGGGCCATCTCATTACGAGACTAGGGGCCGGAATTCCACAGATTTTGCCGAAAGACATATAATGTCACAGAATACACACATGCACAAAGACTGAAAGGGACTGTAGACTGATTTTTTACATAAATCTGTATATTATATGAGGTCAATATGTACATGTGGGACTTCTGAATAGTTGCTAAGAATTTACTGTAAGTTTTAATCTAAAGATCTAAGAAGTAGATCATTTTCCTGCATGGAGAACAGAAAACATCTGCAAGACTACCTTGGTAGATTAATAATGTATTAAAATAATGTGGATATATCAAAGTTTTAAAAGCTCATTGATCAGACTGAATTGCATAAGATAGAATTTTTATAACATGCTGCAGCCATAATAAGTCGGATGGGCACTGGTACTGTCTCCAAAAGATGTCTGGCACATACCCTTCTCAGTTCTTTTTTAAACAATCTAAAATAGCATGAACATACAGGTAAAAAAAGAACATACATGAGCCTATAGTTCTACTGCCATTTTAATTTTGTTGCACGGACTAGAAACCCACAAAAATATCTAGTCAACGGGATTTCTTGACATTTAATAATGGCCTCTTCTGTGTCTTTGTATTTTTCTAGGTTTCCTGCAATCTCAACATTGAGATTTTGCCCCGTAGGTGTTCCTTTCACTCTGTGCTTTTCAGTCTCTCTCTCTAAAGCTCTGCTTCACCCATCTTTCAGCCCCTCAATCCTCTTTTTCCATTCACCATGCCCTGTACA